CCATGCTTTGTATTATGGAGCAGACAACACATCCTATATGTGTGGTGGAGCTGATCTGGGGATTTACCTTCTTACCCATAAATGCTCGCTGACCATGGCTTTATCAGACTTTATGTATATCCCAACTGAAACCATTTTGTAATCCTCGCATCTTCCTTGTCTAAGAAATGCAGAACGAATCAGGAATTGATATTTTAGGAAACGCACAGTAACAGAAGTATGACAGACATTTGATATTTTAGACCAAAATAGTAAAACTGGGGGAACAAAAAAGGATTTGGAATTGGGAAAATGTTCTGGTTTTCCTATTTTGATCTAAAACTTGGAATTCATAGGTTAAAGGGTCACTATAATCTGCATTAATAATGGTGCAAATAAGGACCCTGCACATGTCCTGCATGCAGGCCCCACAATATGGACTGAATTTTCTGCCCTTACTTTAGAAGGGCCAATTGTGGCTCACAAATACTAAACTGGCGAGTGTATCAACTGATGGCAATCGTGGTAAGTGATGAGTGGACCTGCTGCTAGGACATAAAACTACTTATCCCATGAAGCTTGGCTGAACAGAGGTTTGTGGGATAAGACCAGAATATGAGGCTCTTGATTGGTTTAGCCTCTTCCTGGTGAGGGGGTTCTGCCTAAAGATGCAGTTTCAGGATCAAGAAAGGAAAGTGTTTTTTTTTTTGTTTTCATAGTTTGTTTTTAATAAGGGGTTGTTTCACATGGTTTCCCTTTAACTCCCAGCACAGCCAACAACCCTTTAAATATTGTTTAAAAATAAACAACTCAAGTGCATGCAAGCAGACTCACGTGTTGGAATCCAAACATTGGAGGTGAACCGTCAAATATCATTAGGTATCTCTCCCCAAAGGCACACTCCAAGTACTGCAAGCACTACAGTCTGCTGTCTCCCCTGCCCCACACAGGTCCAACATAGGGCTGTGCTCATTGGCTGAAGTTTGTGCAGTTGATACTCTCAGCGAATTAAAGCAACTTGCATGGCCCTGCTATGCACAGTGGCCTAACCAGATGCAGGATGCAAGTTAAACAGTTTAAACACAGTCAAGCTGTAGTGGTTATGGTGTTTGAATAGTTTTCAATATATGATGAAGATTCTTTTTCAATAGTCATAAAAGAATCCTGTATAATACAGATATAAAAAGTACCATAGCGTAACTTGTAAATCTAAAAAGTATGATGTTATAGTAAAATGAAACACTTACAATATACAGAGCCATTTGGCCATGAACTATAGTTGCATATTTGTTAAACAAAAAAAAAAAACACGTTTCAACCATATAGGTCTTCCTCAGGGGCAATCAAAAACAGTACTGACCACAAATGCTCCTTTTTAAGCTTTTCTTTTGTATATCCATCTTTGACGCATGAGTTCTGATAGTCAGGCTGACATCCACACACATCCAGCAATGCCCGTTTTATTTGCAGTTTTAGTAGAATCATTAAATAAAATTCTTCCATTGGTATAGTTCAACAGATGGGTTTTTATTTAACAATGTGTTTGATACAGAAGAATGTCAGTTTGATCAGTGCACACGGTTTATAAACACCATTTCCACATTGAAAGACAAAACAAATAATACTTTGTTTTCTGCAAAATTCTATTAATGTGCTTATTTTTGGTCCGATGGGGACTTTGAAATCCTATTCACAGCTTGTTCGTAAAATATTTAGCCTACCGATGAGCAGTATGCATTCAGCTTTATAAATAGCATTTATGTCAAACTAAAGTCAAAGTAATACTGGAACACAAAGTACAGAAAAATATACATACTCAGTATATTATGAGGTTAAATATACATACACGTGTCTGTATAAACCTTAAAGCAACGAACATTAAAAAAATAAAAGCATATTGGCCAAAATCTCCATTTTATAAAGGCATGCTGTATTTTATGTATTTTATTGTTGGTTTGTTAGTTTCTGGATGCAGGCCATAATTTGGATCCTAGATTCTGATATATTAAAGGGATAATGTAGTGCCAGGAATACAAAGCTGTATTCATGACACTCTCCCTCCCTCACCCTTTATTTACTAGCCTAATCCTAGCGCCGATGTCCCTCAGCGCTGGGTCGACGGTCGTGGCAAATGCTGCATGCGCATTAGACCTCCCTATAGGAAAGCATTGAAGCAATGCTTTCCTATGGGGGGAAAATCTGCTGCTGTAGGTCCTCATGCAGAGTGTGAGGATGTCCAGCATCAGTTACCAGACCGTTTCAAACCAGGAAGCGTCCCCAGTGGCTGGCTGGTAGCCACTGGAGGCAGACTTAGAGCTGCAATGTAAACATTGCGGTTTCTCTGAAACAGCAATGTTTTTTACATTGGTGGACTATGTGCAATAGAGACCCTGTACCCAGACCACTTTAATGAGCTGAAATGGTCTGGGTGCCTATAGTATCCCTTTTAAAGGGGATAATTCACTAACTATCAAATAGCAAAGTCTAGCGCAAAATCGCCAAGCCATGACACAGTCAAGCTGTATAATGTTTCTAAATTGGCTCTTTTAACCTAAATGTGGCCTATTGAGCAGCCTTATCATGCAGAAGTGTTGTACTTCAGAGTATTTCTAACCTATCGATCATCAAAACTGTATTTAAACATAATTTTCTGCATGCATAGTCAGGGTCCATCTTCAACATACAAACTGTAAATGTTAGAAAACTAATACTGAGTAGAAAAAAGGGGGAAACCTGACCACAACATTACCAATAGTTCACATATTTCATCAGACCTGTTAAAAATCCAAACTGTGTTGTAAAACACTTAAAGGCACAAATAAAACATAGAAACCAGCAGCAGTCCTAGTAAAAAAAATAAACCAGCAGCAGTCCTAGTAATGAGCACCGCATCAAAGCAGACATGCAGTTTTTAGGGATCTTGGCAGATTTTGCAAAGCCCCCAAAAGGGACACCTCTGGTTAGGGCATGGTGGGCGTGGGAATCCCTCACAGCTGCTGCCATATTCATCCAGGGGACCTGTTCAGCTACTGGCACTACCTCTACTGGTAGCCACCAAAGTACCACATCGAGGTCTATGGAGGATCCCAAGAAAGCCTCCGTAGATCATGTCCCACAGCCATCACATCATCAGGCTTGTCCATAAGACTAAGTAATCCCTATTTTGCCTTTATGGAGTCTTTGGATTGTGCTGGAAATTCTAACGCAGTCCACATTAATATTTTATCTTTAGAAATACTGAGCTTAGTTAAAAACCTCACTAACGGGTCATTTCTCTATATTGGTTCACCTTGTATAACCTCATTGTCAGACTCGGTATAACAGAAATGTCCTGACCTTTAGGCAATGCCTATCTGGAACATTGAAAATACACAATGCAATTGGATTTTTTCTAATGTCGTGCCTATTGTGGTCTTAATATGTAATTCTATTTGTTTTTACAAATATAGATAATTCAAAATACTTAATGTATAGGAATAAATAATGGGAACTGTATGTTCCATTTAAATGAAATGCAAGTGTTGTTCACAAAGAACTTAAAGTATATAACAATTCCATTAAAGCACTTGTTTTAACCACATGTGCAATTTTGTGCACTCAGTGTACTTCTTAAGAAAGTGGTAAAACAAAGGATTTAAAAGGCATTAATAACATGTAAAACATTTTCTGTAGCAGCGTAGAATTTTAGGAAGATTGGGAAAAGTAAGGCTAAGCGGTATAACATGTATAGAAATGCATGTTATTTAGTCAGTATCATTTAAAATACATTTGTCAGTTTATTTATAAACGTGGAACTAAGATTCTGCAGTAAAATATTTAAGGTCATTTTTGACCTGGTGTAATGCTGGTGCAAAGATTTTGGGGAACATAAGATAATTCCTATTCCTTTCAGCATCAAGATTTCAATGTGATTTATAACTTTTTCTCATTATGCAGCTAAGAGAGCGTTTTGGAATAGTGTCCCTTATCAGACATAAGTAACAAGTTATGAAGGGAAAGCAAAAGAATGTCCCTGACTTATCAAATTGTTTATCACAGTCTTAGCCCCACTTTTTATAAATATCTGCAAAGTCTTAAGGAGACGGTAGATTTTAATATCAGTGCTAACGATCATATAAAAAATATGCACAAAGTAATAAAATCTATATAGTTTACCAAATAATACTGCACCTATACTAATGCTGCAGGAGAGACTTCATTTCAAACTATCCACATGGATATAGAGCAGGGGGTCCTCAAACTCTGGCCCCCCAGATGTTGCTGAACTACAACTCCCATGATTCTTTGAATTACATAGATAACCAGAGAATCATGGGAGTTGTAGTTCAGAAACATCTGGGGGGCCGGAGTTTGAGGACCCCTGATATAGGGGCTACTAAAATGACAGTAACCCACATTCAATGTACTGCACTTACCCCATTAGAATCTGGAATGCGTTACAGTAAAAGGTAGGCTTTGTTTAGCTCTGTCTAGATGATCTAAAAGGATCAAAGTCAGAGCACATCACTAGATATATGCAGTTCTATCACTGTGAGTAAAAATATCTATGTATTCCCAACTAGAGGTATCAAATGAAAACTGTAGTATCGCATTCATATGGAATGGTTCCCTGGTTTTCTTTAGACCACTTAAAGCACCTCTGTCGCCATCTGGGACTTAGCCGAATTTGCAAAGTCCCCCGATGGTGACATTGCCGCTAGTGGTCCGGTGGGAGTTGGGTAAAGGTGAGATTACTTACCTGAAACTTTCTCGCACTGCTCCTCTTCAACTCCTGGCACTTTGGCGCCAGGAGCCGAATTCACGGTTGTACTTTCGCGCATGCACAGGAGTACAGCAATGAGGTCTATAGGGGATCCTCCATCGACACAGCCAACTCCCTGCAGCAGCCAGTGGTGACAGAGGTTGTGATTGACGTTTAGAGTCTAAGAAAGTCAGGCAGAGGAGAAATACAGAGACAAAGTAGATCCTACTTTCTCTGTATATCTCTTGAGTTAGCAATTCAGTGAAAGTCAAAGTAATAACTCATAAAGAAAAAAGGGGTGCGGGGTGGGCTTTAACATTTCTCAAAGTCTGAGATTCTTATCAATTTGGGCATTTAAGTGGCTCGTATTGTTATTATGTGGTATTAATTTCTCTCTTTGTCAAAGTTTATTAAATTTGAAAGTTCATTTAGAATCTAAGCTCAAAATAGCCGAACTGGAAGTATAACTGAATTTTTTCCAGTTTGGCTATTTAATGTGAGAAATGTCAAATTCAAACACCAGAGTTTAACCCCGTAAGAGAAACAGATAAAGTACCTCTGTGTATTAACAGGTGCCCAAGTGATACACATAGAAGTACAAGAAGTGGTGCAGCGCCTCTAATGTGTCCTTAAATGTATATAAAAGCAGGATGAAAAAAAAGGAAAATATAGTGTAGTATGTCACTGTCCAAGTAAATAGAATAAAACAAAGGAAATACTCACAATTTCCTGGAGCTAAAATTGTAGCTCTATTTTCTTTGTTTTATTCTATTTATTTGGACAGTGACATACTACACTATATATTTTCTCCCTGCTTTTATATAATTTTTTTAAGGACACTTTAGGCGCTGCACCACTCCTTATACTTTCATCTGTTTGTAGATGGGACGAGAGACTCTGGCTCCGGTGATTTAGCTGCTGTTTGGACTGTTCAGTTATTGCTTAGCGCTGAATACCCTTTAGCTTTTTCAAGTGATACACATGCCATCAGCTTCCCTTGTACCGTTAGATGGCAGCACATTCCGAAATTTAAACCGTGTAAACACTGCCACAACTTGTAATTTATAAAGACACCTGCATTAGTTTACACGGCAATTTCTCCACATCAGGGGGGAAAAATATCAAGGCAAAAAGATGCAATTCTGTGGCAATTCGCATGGTAACACTCACTATTTAGTATATTTCCCTACAATAGAACTATTATGCTTCATTATGTTCCCTCCCCCAATTATTCTGATCTAATATAACTTGCTAGTTTCTCTCACTATTATCACTGATCTGCAAACCCCTACACTTTGAATGTATCTCACTCAGACTGTCAAAAGTAACAAGTCATTAACAACCCAAAATCAGTCTGACAAATGGAATATTAAACCCTGTAAAAATATAGGAGCCATCGTTAAAACTCGAGGTAACAAAGTGTCAAAGTATCCGACAAAACGTCACGTAAACTTAAATCTTATTCACGAAGCCTGGTGCACGTTCTTTGCAGAAACATAGATTTGCATCAAATCACCATCGAATAAATTCTGTCTTCTAATTAGAGGAGAGAGACAAAGCGGGATCTTCCCATTTATTTCTAACAACAGAGATCCAATTCAAGGAAGTACTCGCACAAATGAATGTAAACAACTGACAAACATTTACTTTTGCAAGTACAATTTGTATATAATTTCAAGAAGCTGTCAGCGGATTACAGAGCGAATACATTTTTCTCCTGTTTGTATTCTGTAAACTCATACTCTGTAAATTACAAGTTACTCAAAAACGTCTCTTAAACAGCACATTTCTAGGAACGGTTAGTCCCATTGAAATCAATGGGAGAGATGGACTGAGTTCTGCTGTATACGTCACTGCAGAAGTGGCAGATCCTGGGGGTTTGCACCAAACTAGGAACAATTGAAGGTAGGAAATCTTTCTTTATGCATTTTTAATGTATTGTCTCAAATTTATTAAATTAAAATAAATGTCAGTGTCTGCATGCATGGTCCCAATGACGTTAACACACAAAAAGATAGAGGCCCAGTTAAAATGCTAATAAGGAACATCAATATATTTTACTCTCAGGGTACTCAGAAAGATTAATACCCCACTGGCCCTAGGCAGGTAAAGCAAATTCATTCTGCTGTCAGAAGCTCTGTCACTAAGCTAAGCTCAGTCATGTGGGGCTATGCTAAGCGCAGCAAACATACCTCTTCGGTGGAGCTTCTTGCAGCACTGCGACGGCAAACCGGTAAGTTGTCAAAACATTCTTAAAGGAACACTCTGGGCACCATAAGCACTACAATGGGCTGAAGTGGTTATGGTGGTTGGAATGGATACATCTCCGTACAACATTTAGCAGAATGAAAATAATTTTACATGACAAACTAAACTTTAAATTAGGCGGCATTCTATCCTTATATGAAGAGTGTGATTATAAAAACAAACTTTCACAAGACTACACCAGCAAAAGTAGGCAGAACTGCTCAAATAAAACCTTGTTTTCAGGAGTCCCTTTAATTTCAAACTAAACTAGCTTAATTATTTGTGTAACAAAAGAAATGTAACAATTAAAAACAGGAATATTCCAGAAACTGTAGAATGTGTGCGTCTCAGAACAATGCTTTAAGGCTAACGCGCCTTTCACAGTTCACCACAATGGTCGGAAAAATAGAATTCTAAGATCAGGATGTGTAGTACCCTCGAGTATTGACCCTGCAGTTTACTTGTGTCTTCTGTATTCAGATTTAAATGCTGCAGATCTGCACATCGATCAGGGCTGTAGTATCTCCCATTACAATCCAAAGAAATGCTGCTGATGTAATCATAGCAGTTGGACTTCCTCAGTTGTTTCCGACATTTCTTCTATGGAAGCAGACATTTCCCGATCCTAATACGCAAAGTAAAAAATCTAGACTTAATTCCTAATCTGCATAATTAGAGAAATGATTATAAGCATAACAGACATTAATACAAACGCACTAAATTTGACCTGCGCAGATCATCTGCTTCTTGGTACTTGACTGGCTGCATAAGTTAGAGGTAGCTCCCGTATTTGAGGACAACCGACCAGATTTCCTACTATTCCTCCAATAGTTTTAGCCTCACACTCCTACTCTCTAGAATTTAGTCCCAGTGATTCCAATCCACAGATTCTCAGCTTTTACAGAATATATTTTTCCAAAGCCCTTTTATAAAACTTTCATCCTTCCTAATACTTCAGGTTTAATAAGGGCCACTCCGAGAACCAATACAACTTTATTACATAATATATATAATTTATTTTTAAGTGCTAAAGCTATAAACAAATTTGCAGAATGTTGCACCATAAGCCTGCCTCTTTAGCCACGCCCCCTCACTCTATAAAAATTACTTCCTTATCTAATGTATGTACACAGCTCAGCTATGGACAATACCGGATAGTAGTGTAATAATATGAGCGCTAGGACATGCAGCTGTGAACACAGTGGAATTAAATCACAAAAGATTCCACCAACAGTGAAATAAATATATAATACAAAGATAACGTGCTCAGCGCAAAATTGGAATAATATTAATGCTCTAACTCCCAGAGCGTGACACCACCATATGTGTTACACAGGTGAATTATAGTTATACCTGAATACAGTATAATTCCTCCTCCAATAATGGAGGCAACAGACACAGGTGTTCCTGTATGGTAAAAAAGGAGAACTCATGGGATAACACTGTTATAAAAGAGGGCTCAATTTAAAACTCTGTATGGTCCAACTCACATTTTTCTGAGCTTGTTATATCGAAACTGGCTCAGGTAATATCAGTAAAAGCACAACGCATTTCAACGCTTGGATTTGCGTCTTCCTCAGATGCACCTGAGAAAGACGCAAATCCAAGCGTTGAAATGCATTGTGCTTTTACTCTTTGAATGAATGGCACTCCAAAAACCTTAACGTAAGGCTTTTTATATTTTTTGTAATAAATATTGTGATTTTATACTAATCTGGTGTTTCCTTTCCCACAATTCTTTTCTGAGGGATCATCTCCAACTCACCTGGATCTGTACATTGCATTTAAAGTGATATTACCTGAGCCAGTTTCGATATAACAGGCTCAGAAAAATGTGAGTTGTACCATACAGAGTTTTAAATTGAACCCTCTTTTATAACAGTGTTATCCTATGAGTTCTCCTTTTTATACCATACAGGAATACCTGTGTCTGTTGCCTCCATTATTGGATAAGGAATTATACTGTATTCAGGTATAACTATAATTCACCAGTGTAACACATATGGTGGTGTCAAGCTCTGGGAGTTAGAACATTATTATTATTCCAATTTTGCGCTGAGCACTTTATCTTTGTATGATATGGACAATAACTAATGAGTTGAACTATAAGCAATCAACATTATAAGTAGAGGACAATTAGGAGAGCATACAGTAAGCCGGGCTGCCCAAAAGGTATATCACGAGATGATTTAAAAGTACAGTTTCCACACTGCTTTGTCATTCTAAAGCGATAAAAAGCATCATGGGAGTTGTAGTTCTACAACATATGGGGATCTACCTTTTGTGCAGCCCGGCAGTAAGGATATCACTGCCTGTTTGGAGTTTTTCTGACTGTTTGTTTGCAGTCAGAGCAGCTTACTCAGTGCTGTTGGTGCAGAGACTGTGTGCATGCATTTTATAAAGAAGTCCTTCTGGCATGAGGGGGACCTGGCGATTGAGTCAGGCACCAATTATTATTATAGCTCCAATGAGATGCAAGTACACTAACGAGGATGAGCATATGGTTTCAGACTGGAGGACAAGCAGTTAATGGCAAAATACATAGTTCCATACCTCTCTTGTAATATTAGGGAGTTCAGCTGCCGTTTTCAACCAATGTGCAGCAGTTGCATCGTTTCCCAAATCCTTATAACACTGTAGAAATATAATTAAATAAATACAAACACAAAAAAAACCATAGGGGGAAAAAAAAAATATTCTCCCAGTTATGAATCAAAAGGTTAGATTGCATCTCGTAACTCCAGTGATGAATTACATCCCAGCAGCAAATGTCACCCATTGTGCAGATATCCAGAATGCAAGAGATGTTTACACACAATATGACATATAAATTAAATCTCAGTGGATCTATTCATATAAGACACAATGTGTGCATACATTTCCCATCCCTCCCAATTGCCCCTGATCATACAGGACAGTCCCTAGTATGAGCCACTGTTCTGCCATCTTGTTTAGTCTCCCCACCACCCACAGTGGCCTGCTTCTAGGAACACCCTGAAAAAAAAAGTGTAAATTGCAAAGCTGCATATTACAAACACCACCATCAACTCCTGCTTGGCTGCACAAGTCACTCACATGTTCATCATCCCTGCCCCACATCCAATCAAAATGTCAAACACTGCAGTAGTGTGAAGCATGTTATCTCATTAACTTTTCTTTCATTGAGAAGTAAGACTACTGCTATTAGATAGGATTTACATTGTCTGCATGATATTTTTTGATGCAGTCTTGCACACTGAGGGAAACTATAGGCACCCAGACCTCTTAAGTTAATTGAAGTGTTCTGGGTACAGTGTCCCTATTGCACTTAGTGCTGCAACGTTTACATTACAGCACTCGTCTGCCTACCCGCTCAGGCATATAAAAAAAACCTTATGTTTATTTCTGATTTTAGAGGAAGGGGAGTAAATAATAAGCCCAAATAGGGGTTTATTAATTTTTTAATTTTTTAAATGATGCTTAACCATTTAAATGATACCCCACCAACTACCACAGCACCCACCCTACCGACCGACGAGCAGGAGTAGCGATCCTAGTAGCAGCCAATACCCAATTCACTCTGATGGATCAACTCGCAGATCCTAACGGTAGATTCCTTTTCATCAAAGGCACAATTTCGGGAAAACTCTACACCTTCGCCTCTATCTATGCACCAAATGCAAAGCAGGCACCGTTTCTAAGCAAAACGATCCGCCAATTGGCAACGTATACTGAAGGTTCACTCGTCGTAGGGGGGGACTTCAACGCACCGCTTGACCCATTAGTTGACTCATCGACTGGACACAGCAGTATATCACAAACTGCGATCAGAGCAATAAGGAAGGCCCTGCGAGACCTGAGATTGGTAGACGCCTGGCGAACCCTACACCCGACAGTTCGAGACTATACGCACTACTCAGCCATACATAGGAGATACTCGCGTATTGACTATGTTCTCATACAACAAGAAGGACTACAACGCTTGCAGTCGGCTGACATTGTTCCGACACCATGGTCGGATCACAGCGCAGTGTCCGCACATCTGGATTCTCCTCTATTTAGGCCTACTAGGACAACATGGAGACTGAATGAGTCGCTCTTATCGGACCCGGAAGTGAAATCCCTTCTGACAGAACATCTAACTAACTACTTTGCTGAGAACGATACAGAGGATGTGTCGAAAGTGACGCTTTGGGAAGCGCACAAGAGCGTGCTCCGGGGGCATCTCATAAAGATTGCATCACGCAAAAAGAGAGAAGCACAGCGGCACATGCTGGAACTCATTGACCAGATATCGAAATTGGAAACCCAACATAAGCGGTCGCAACTCGAGGAGCACTATCGCTCACTACTGGACGCTCGCAGACAGCTGGCAGATCTAGTAGCCCGCAAACACTATAGAGCGACACAGCGATCCAAGGCCTTTTTTTACATTCACGCTAATAAAAGCGGGAGACTCCTAGCCCGCATGATCCGACCCCAACAGGCCAGAGCACAAGTCCATGCACTACGAACAACCGATGGCTCTCTCACACAATTCCCGGAGGCAATAGCCAATGAATTCCGTAAGTATTACCAACAACTATATAATATTTCACCAACGACATCCGATACACAACGCGCCGAACTGCAGGAAGCAACAACGCGCTACCTACAAAGATTTCAGCCGGACGCCCTAACACCGGAGGAGGCAGACCTACTGGAAGTCCCAATAACCACTGAAGAGGTACAGGCGGCGATTAAGGCAGCGAAGAAGGGGAAAGCACCGGGACCAGATGGACTCTCAGCGGGATACTACAAGTTGTTCAGGGACATTCTGACTCCACACTTAACAACAGCCCTCAACCGACTCCAACAGGGCGATAAATTCCACCGAGAAACTCTAGCAGCCACAATCACGGTGATACCCAAACCAGGCAAGAACCCCGAAAACTGCAGTAGCTACCGACCGATCTCTCTACTTAACGCGGATGTGAAACTCTTCACCAATGTCATCGCTACAAGGTTGCAGGCGTACGTGCCGCGCCTAATACATCCTGATCAAACAGGTTTTGTACCAGGCAGGGAAGCCAGAGACTGCACACTCAGAGCGTTTTCAATACAGGCATTGGCGCTTAAAGAGAAGACGGAACTACTAATGCTCTCAACAGACGCCGAAAAGGCATTTGACCGGGTGACCTGGAGCTTTATGATAGCAACACTGCATAAAGTCGGCCTAGGGAGGGGAATGATAGCTTGGATAGCTGCGCTTTACGCTGACCCTAGTGCCAGAGTGAGGGTGAATGGTGCGCTCACAGACACCTTTCCCATCCACAACGGAACCCGACAGGGCTGCCCATTGTCGCCGCTTTTATTTGCCCTCTCCTTGGAACCGTTTTTGGACAGGATACGGCAAACCCCAGAGATTCGAGGGTTTAAACACGGAGACCAGGAGCACAAGGTTGCCGCATATGCTGATGATATGCTTTTCTTCGTGGACAACCCGGTCGACTCCATGCCGATCTTGATGCAGGAATTCGACATATATGGCCAGGTATCAGGTCTGAAGCTTAATCAAACTAAATGCGAACTGCTGAACATACAGACTCCAACGGCAGTGCGAGAGCGGATCGCACGCGAGTATCCCTTTCACTGGTGCTCAGAACAGATGCGATACCTGGGAATCTGGATACCCAACAATCCGAAAGAGCTATATACCAGGAACTACGTACCCCTCTTGCGAACAATCCTGCTCGACCTAAAAAACTGGAATTATGACCATATATCCTGGCAAGGACGTATAGCGGTGATTAAAATGAATATCCTACCACGGCTGCTTTACTACTTTAACACCATTCCTTGGCACATACCATCAGAATTCTTCGCAACTCTTAAATCGGCAGTAATAAAATATGTCTGGAAAGGAGAGAGAGCAAGACTCAGCTACGACAAGCTATGCCTACCAAAGAACTGGGGCGGACTAGCGTTACCCGATATACGCAAATACTTCCAGGCCGCGGTATTACAACGGATTAGGGATTGGCACGTAGCGTCTGAAAACAAACTGTGGGCCGCATTAGATAGAGAAAGTACAAACAAAGCCCTTCACATGTATATATGGCACAGCTCGGCAGATGCAGCAACAAAATTAGGCAATTCATCACCCATTGTACAAACGCTAAAGACATGGTCATCCTTGAGGCGGAACCAACATCTCTCCCCACAACCAAGCCCATTGATTCCGATAACACACAATACTGCAATAGGCGGGGGGCTACACCGATCTGCTTGGCCGATTGAGGGAGAAGGAGAGTATATCCCTATGTCAGAGGTCCTGAGCAATACCGGACTGCGAAACCTGCGAGAATGGAACACGATGACACAACAGACGCTGATGCACAGATTTCGGTACACACAATTACGGCATTTCTACTTCAACCTCCCCAACAGGGCAGCGATTCACAGAGAACAGACTTGGTTCGAAAACATCTGCGTGGCCAACACTGGCGCGGACGGTAGGGTATCGCTCATCTACCAACAATTGATAACAGGAGACCTCACACGGAAAAATGCGTTTAAGAGGCAATGGGAAGAGCTGACAGCTAGGACGTACACTGAGGCACAATGGGAACAGATATTAATCCTGCAACACAAGAGCTCCATAAGCACCAGATATCAAGAGGTTAACTTTAAACTAATCTCTCACTGGTATAGAACCCCATCCTTACTACACAGAATTTTCAGAGGAACCTCAGATACATGTTGGAGGTGTGAGTCCCAAACAGGCTCTCTACGGCACATCTGGTGGGATTGCACGCTAATCAAGCCATATTGGGAGGACATAAAAAGGGAAATGAGGATAATTCTAGGAGATCTGCCGGACTTTAGCATAGAAATGGCCCTACTGCATTACACAGAAGGCTCGATAGCCCAATACAAGAGATCGATATTACGGCACCTGCTTAACGCAGCGAAAGCAGCTATACCTGTCAAATGGAAACAGACCCAACCACCGACCGTCACGGAGTGGCTACAGAGAGTTGAGGAAATACACACTGCCGAGGCGCGGTACGCAGAACTAATAGGAAGAAGCACCAAACACGTCGATATCTGGACCCCATGGTATCTATACCTCTCACGTCCCGGAACTAGGGAGGCACAGCACACACCATAACACCGGGGGTCTGAGAGGACCCGGCGCACCCCGACACGTGCTATCCATCATGTCTCCCCCCCCCCACCCCTACTCCTGATCCTCCTCCCCCCCCCCTGCCCCCCTTCCCTTTTCCCCTCTGCATCTAATCAACTTCACGTAACTTCTTTTCCTTTTCTGAGGGCTTGGGTGGATGCGGCTTGCCCTGCCCCCGAAGAGGCCAGAGTCGGGAAGGCCCCGAACGAGTAGCTAAACAATATATAGCCACGACACGAAGCAGCTCCCATAGATACGAGTCACCGACTTATATAACAGCTGACTGAGAGAGATGGAACGGGACCAGACAAGCAGAGAACTAGTTCTCAAACACGACACAATTACCTGCTGGGAAGACACGAACTAACACCTGTCCCATGACAGACTGGGGCGACTAGACGCAGGCAGAACGTACAACTGATCAGGGGGATACACGAACGCACAGACCCAGTCAAAACAAAGTTCCTTACGCAATACTCCCCCGAGGCAGCTTTCTCTAAGAGATCCCTGGCTAACGTTAGGATTAAGGGAATCACTGTCGCAACAGCAACATGTGAGGAACTGGAACCAGAATTACGGATTCCATTACAATAGAATTAATAAAGCAAATCATTCACTACACTAGGTTCCATAACCTATGTGCCAACTATCATTACTCATTGACGCAATTGCTCCCCTGCTACAAGTGTCTAATATTTTTAGTAATACATTTATTACCCCATCTTTTCCGTCAGACCAGTAAGCTTAGATATACAGCAGAATTTTAAAGTTTGGTAGAATGTAGCTGCCTGTTTCTAACTAACTAGCTTGTCATTATTGCTATGGCTTCAGCTTCAGAAATGCACACTCACCTACAGCTGTTCAACCTACCTGCATCTCAATGATTGCTGTTATGACATTTGCAAATGTTACGTAACCGACAGATACCAATGCTCATTATTTGTATCGTTATTCAATTGTTCATCTTATTTCTATGCCCATGTGCACTGTTTTGGTGTATGTATGTATATTGTATTCACATGAACCACAAATAAAGAATTTAAAAAAAAAAAAACCATTTAAATGAAATCCCTGGACATACACACATTAACTCAGAATACTCACTTACCTTTGCAATGTATATTCTTAAAGCCTTTGAAAAATCAGGCACCATTTCTTCAGCCTGAAAGACACAAGTTGAAAAGTGCATCTCTGTATGAACATTTAAAAATAAAGGATGGGATCAAACGATTTCACACGTATCATTTCTTCTCTTTAACTTTAGAGGAAAGTCTCTCGCATTCTATTTCACCCTGTGAGCCATTTACAAGTACAAGTAATGAAAACCGAAATATATAATGTAGTGTGAAATAATTCTGACAAAGCTGTAACAGCCTAAGTTTAACAACTGATCTCTATTTAATTCTATTTTTGTATCTACACTTGTCTTATTTTTTTTTTTTTGTCTAAATTTCCCAAAGAATTAACCTTGTAAGAGAGTCATAAGTAATTATTTAACAGGGTCTTCACTAAAGCGTTTTAAATATACCAGTGAATAACAAATACTCTAGTTTCACAGAGAAAGATCATTATAAAAAATATATACAAAAGTGTATTTGAAGGAATGGATATGGCTCGAGCTTTGTATGGCTCTGGGCCATATCCACGTTTGTATACATTTTTTATAATTCTCTTTCTTTGTGTTATTCTCTGTTTTATGATGTATAGAGTTTAAAGCAGCTGTAATTTTATAGACTATGGTCAGAATTTAAGCTTTTTAAAGCCATCATTTTCTGGTAAATGAAGTAGTTAAAAAATGTTTTCGCCATTTGTTATTCATGGTTTATAAACCAGATACACACGGTTACTGACTAAAGGGAATTTCATGTTTGAGGTCTAAGTAGCCGAACTGGAAAAATTGTCTAAGTCGGTTCTGCTTTCAGTTTGGCCACTCTGGCCTGACATTTGAAATTCTCTTTGACTTCTCACTTTAATGCATTAACCTGATAGTTATAAAGGTAGATTAAGTACTTGTCACTCCTCCAAAATGATGATGATCTTGTGCTTTTAACTGTTGTATTATTTATTGTTTTACTTATAGTATATGTGGTCATGCACTGCCATTAAAGTTGGCATTAATGTGTGTCTCTCTCTTCCCTCCCCCTTGTTTTTTGTTTTTTTTGTAGACTGTTTAGGAAAAGGAACACAGCAACAACATAGGTTTGCATTAAAGGGGCTCTCCAGTGTCAGGAAAACATATCAGTTTTATAAAAACTGCAATAATTACACTTTTAAGGTTAAGGGTGGTGGGAGTTGGCACCCAAACCACTCCAATGGGCAGAAGTGGTCTGGGTGCCTGGAGTGTCCCTTTAACAGTTTAAAAGGTTTTAAAGTGCAAATCCCACATTGCATACTTAGATAAGCATTTGGAGTTCATGGGGCATGGAGTTTGGTTTCAAAGATGACCAAACACACATGGCGGATGATGCTCCAATACTAGCCAAGCTAATCAATCATCTCACACATGTGCTGCTATTCTTTTTTGTATAAAGATTTACTGGAGGGACAGAGGTCCTTCAAAGTGAATTCACCTGATGTTTGCATAGGGGTGTACAAACCTGTTCCAATATAAGTAATGAGATGTAGATCTGTTGGATAGACTCCCTTATAGTGCAAACCATCACAATCAACAGGCAACCCTCCCCCTCACCCCATATCATGCAATGCTCAGGGTTAACTTATATTAGAAAAGTAGAGCAGAGAACTGGGGATACCTTCAGGAAGTTTTGCAGAGCTTCCTGAACAGAAGACTTCGGGACTTTTTCCAACAAGCCCGAGATGGTCTCTATTTCTGACAGATCCAGGTTACAGACCTAAAGAAACAGTGGTTTTGCACAGATGAGTTTGTTAATAAACGTGGTAGCTGCTTGACATAAAAAAGAGAGAATATAAAAAAAACATTCTTCCCGAATTAACAACGTGCAAAAAGCAAAGACTTCTACTTTGAATCTCCAAATATCCATTTACAAAAAAACTATAGTGCCAGGAAAACAAAGTTGTTTTCCTGGCACTATAGCTTCCTATAGTGCCACCTCCCCCCCTTTCTGTCACCTACCTGGGTCTAGCACTGAAGTCCCTCGTTTTGGCTCGGGTCCACCTCCGCAATGGCTGCACTCGCATTAGGATTCTCCCTTAGGAAAACATTATACAATGCTTTCCTATGGGGATTCCGGTGACGCTGGATGTAGTCATGCATAGTGTGAGGACGTCCAGCGTCAGGTGACAAAAAGTCCCTCTGGTAGACAGACACTAGATGAAGAGTTACCCCACAAAGTTAATAAAGCTGCAATTGTTAGCTTTGCAGCGTTAAGGGTGCTGGGGCAGTGCACCCAGACCACTTCAATTATGTGAAGTGATCTGGGTGCCTATGGTGTCCTTTTAATTCTCCTCTTAACCCTTTTTTAACTTCTATTAAAAAGTTACATTATCGGTGTATGTTTTGATGAATAGAAACCTGTCGTATCAGTACTCACTTGATAGCACCAGCGTCCGAGCAGATAATAACATCTTGGGTCAGTGGGGTTTAATGAAATTGCCTTTTCAATATGTTCCTAAAATATACAAAATATTATACATTATAAAGTTAAGAATAAAATCACAAATGATTATCAGGCTAACATAACAGATCTACCTACTCTGCCAATCCCCCAAATTACTACAATTGAGTTTATTTAGAATAGTTTTGCACATAGCTTACTATTTCATCAATTGACAAGTGTTGTGAGTATGGGACATGCCTATATTTCCAAAGTATTTATTGTTCTTTACAACAACTTGATATTTTTTTTTAACGATTTGTCTGCTTTGCAATATGTCAGTAATACTGTTAATAAGGGCATTGATACCATATTTAATAATTAAAGTTTTTTTGTATATTTTATATTCCCTACAGTCAAGAGACAACTTTCAAATTATGGCCTCAATTTAATATAGTTCGATGAGCTTTCAAAATGATTTCATATTTTTGTATACTAAAAAAACCACAAAACTTTGCAGCATTTAATAAAAGAAATATAAAAAATATCAATATTGCAAAACTAGAATATTTTCATGATAAATAATTTGGAAAGCTTAATATTAAAAACCTAGACCTGTATAAGAGCATAGCTGAAAAAGATCATTGTGATTTGGCAATGACATGACATTAAAAAAAGCCATAACCGCAATATTTCATTGGCAGAGAAACATGCTGAGCGTGAATTTAAAGGGGAACTCCCACTTTACATAATAAGTAATATTACATTTAAATACAAGTTAATGACATGCAATGAGTCCTCTCTGTTGGAGCCCATCGCATAACTCACATATAATACCAAATACAATAGAATGTTCGAAATGTTCCCAAGACATTAAACCAGGGGTCCTCAAACTCTGGCCCCCCAGATGTTGCTGAACTACAACTCCCATGATTCTCTGGCTATGTAATTCAAAGAATCATGGGAGTTGTAGTTCAGCAACATCTGGGGGGGGGAGGGAGTTTGAGGACCCCTGGTTTAATGTCTTGGGAACATTTCGAACATTCTATTGTATTTGGTATTATATGTGAGTTATGCGATGCATTAAACTAAATCTTCCTAGAACTCACAATCCAAGATTTTTGTAAATACAGGTTGACAATCTAACCTTAAATTGGCATCCCAACAGAATTCGCCAGTGGATACTTTCGTGCTCTGCGAGCTGTTCACAAAGGATGGCAAGCCTAGAAAACACCAAACATATATTCTAAACTGGTTATGGATGGAGAATTACAAGCGAGTGGTTATATACTTGCAGTAAACTTATAGTAACTATTCCATTCAAGTGGTGAAGCGCTCATCTGGTACCTTGCCTTTGCTTTATGAATTACAATGAATCTACATTATTGGAACTAATTTTAGCAAGTAGCTGAGCAAGCGTGTGTTTACAATGGTGTGCTGTGACAACAAGTACATGATTGTACCTTGAAGCTGTGTACCCTTCATTAGAAGGGAGCAGGTCCACCCCCTTGGCAAGGTAAAGGTAAAGGGAAACTCCAGATCCCTAAAGCACTTTAGCTTTCCAAAGGGCTTTGTGTAAAGAGTGCCTTTTTTTCACTTTGCATTTCACACAAAGTGCAGATTTCAATAGAAATCGGCAATTTTATGAGTTAGCCTTGTTACACTCCCCTTGGCTTTCGAGCAGACAACACGTCCTGTTACTTCCTGGTTGTTTAGCTCAGTAAAGATAAACCCAAGAGACCGCAATTGCTCAGAGCGCCTGCCTTGCAAAGACCTCTCTGAGCTGCATTAGGAAGTCTATGATTGGACAGCCGCAGAAAGCCTGGACGGGGTTAGACGGCTTCAGAAAGGAGATGCATGGTTCCATTGCAGTGATATCTACTAAACAAAGTGATTTATTTTTATTTGGACAGTAAAGTGTCCATTTAAGCTTATTAGGAGTGCCTTCTAACGTCAGGGATTAAACCGTTTAGCAATGGTTTAAGTTTGGGCTTCTGCTTCCATTCTTCTCTGCAGTATAAGGAAGGGTTAGCCAGGCAACCAGTGATAGGCTGAGAGTGTTAGCTGGTTTATACCCCGATGGTTAGAAGGCATCCGGGTACTTCTGCCCCATAAAACCTAAAGTGACCTGAAGTTGTTATAGAGGTGTGAGTGTTCCTTTAGACTTAATACAATTTTTAATTATGTAAATAGTAGTCATAGCAAGTGACTTGTTAAAATCATATCTACTTGCTAGACAGGCCTGTGGCTACCTCAATAACTCGAGTGTCCTATTTACTACCTTTACCTATGTTGAACATCACAAATTGTTGTTTACTGTAACACCTCCAATGTTGTTATTTCAACGTGAAACAGAAAAATTAAAATAAAGAATTAAAAAAACAAAACGTGTCTTTACTCCTTTATCTCCTTTAGAAATAGGGTTATTGATTAAACCTATTTCCCCAAAAAATGTGTTCCATATGGCATAGTTGAGACAAAAGTAGTTGATCAGGAAAAATTCTCCAAATCAGGTGAAGTCAACGTTATTCCACCTAAATTCATTCACAAAAATTCTGAATTATATAAATAACCCAGAATGAAATCAGAAGAGCAGCAAGTGGGTATTTCTTTAACTAGTCACAAAAAGCCAGGAATACTAGAGCGGTTTTCTTACTGAATACAATCATTATCTAAAATACCTGGCACAGACCAAACCAGTCACTTTAAACACAACATCTTGGGGAAAGGGAACCCAGCTAGCTTAGTGTGCAATACAACATTCAGTAGTGGACTGATTTGGAAACATTACTTTGCAAATATCCCTGAGATAGAACTTACCATTTGTGATTCTCCGCACGACCGTCTTCACTTGCATTTCCTGACTCTAGACCTTGTTCAGCTTGCAATTTCCCTGCAGACAGACAGACATTCTCTGAAATTACGACATAAGGGGTGTCTGGTATAGTGTCATTTCTGAAGATTACTTATCGCAGTCATTCCAGAGTAAGAGGAAATATATAAGATTAAAAGGTTCATTATAGTGCCCTGCTCACAGTTTAGGTGAACGTGGATAGCACTGCCAGGGTTTTGTGATTTTATTTAACTTTTCCCCCTCACAGCACCGGCTTCCTTTGCGGAGATCATAGAGCCATGGAAAAGTACTTGTGTCACGCTGCACCAATGAGATAGTGTCTCTCTCAGATAATCTGGTTAAAATAGAGTTTTACTCTGCTATCTCATGAAAGTGTCTCTAGTGTGAAAGTCACTAGAAGAAGGTTAACCCAGTCAAGATAACATTGCCGTTCCTGCAGGGTTACAATGGGGCGGATTGAGATGAAGTGGTTTGGGTGCCTGTAGTGTTCCTTTAACAGAGGAGTGAAATCTGTATGGCAAACCTTTAAAACGGTTACAAAAACAAGAGTTCTTTCTAAACAATCCAGGTTTAAAAAGTAATCTCATCCTTTCCTCACTGCCCCCTCACACCTCTTCTTCTAATGTTTTTTTTCTCCTTATTCTCCTCTGTCTCACTTTCCATTTTCTGTCAAACCGTTTTCTTGCCGTGTTACAAACATGGAGTAGTTTCCGTCTCCTCTTCTCTGTCTTATTACCTTACATTGCAGTAATCTCAATAAACATTTTAATTACAAAAAAAGTGATCTAGTTTTTTCTAGAATGTGAGTTTGGTCAGAACGGGACACATGAAAGATAAAAGCACATTAGGCAATATTTTTGTTTTTAGAGTTACATCTGCAGCATAGGTGCTCTCTAAGCTTGCTGGCATGTACTCCAGGAACGAGACATCTTTTGGCTCAAGGCCACCTCAGCGCTTTGTTTATCGTGTTATCTGAAACGCCTAACAGCTCTAGGACAGGAAGCAATATCCAAATGCAACACTGTGCTCTTCAGCCAACTCCCCCCCCCAAAAAACACAGCATATTACACACACTATTCCTTCATCATCATCATCATTATTAGTATTGCTGTATAAAATGAATTGTACAAGCTCTGAAAACCCACAAACCCCCTTTTCACAAGTAACCAGTCAAATGCATTTGCTTGGGAGCTCTTTTTTTTTTTTTTTTTTTTTTTTTTTATTTTTGAAGTGCAGATAAATACACATCCTCTCGCCAAGCCCCAACAGCTTGCGACCAAGAAGGCAATTTACACAATTTGTAAGCATTAAGGCGTTGGTAAAAGATAAACATGAACATATATATTTTTAAACGTATAACAACAGATGAAGGAACATGCGTATCAGTTTGTCCTAGGCAGTATCCTTGCTTAGATCTGTTTGTGAGGGTAAACGTGTACGACTCTGTCATAGTCTGCGCATACAGCAGAGGGGGACGTTAACTTGGTTCCCTGAGAGGTATCATATTGGTAGCTGTTTGAAAAATAAACTAAAACTAAAACTTAAAAAATAAAAAACAGAAAATGTAGCAATGGTAACAGAGTATATTAACACTAACCCATCATTGTATAGAGGGGAGGTTTGCAAGACATGGGTGTGATGTCTGGGTAAGGTGTGCGACTCTGCGAGGGCCTATGCCATTTCAGGAGCAGGTGCTGGCCCATATTTGCCTGTAACCTCTGTGTGTCAAACGGTCTTGCCGTCTAAGGGATGTTGAGGGTGTAGGGGTTGCGTGCAATGGGAGCCTCGCTAGTGTATGTGGGTGAGAAGTAGTTTGCAGAGTAATGCCAACAGGGGTATAGAAGTAAAGGGAAGAGGAGAGAAGAGACAAAGGAAGCATGTACACAATTCCAGTGGGTCAGCGGGACATCCAGTTCGTGGGGTTATCCCTGTCAAAGTGATGTGATGTGAGCTCCTGTCAAAGTTCAAGTTGTTGCTGCTGCATACTGGTCCGGCGTGCGTTTCTGTGGAACGAAGGGGGCGATCTGGTTTGGGTCCCAGTTATGTGTACGTCGGTTCTCCGGTTTGTGTTGGTCGAGGGAGTCCATAGGCAGTCCCAATATGTGCAGCAAGGCCGTGGCTTCCTGGAGCTCTTGGACTTGGTGAGTGGTATCATTATGGTAGACCTGCAGCGTGCGGGAGGGGCGCCAGCGGTACCTCACATCGTGTTCTTGAAGGAGTGCAGTCAGTGGTTTGAGGGATCTGCGCCAGGCTAAGGTTTGCCCTGATAAGTCAGCGTAGAAGGTGAGTGTCATTGTTTCAAACTGGTATGGGGTTTTCCCCCTCAGGGCGTTAAGCACAGTGGTCTTGTCTGCTCCACTCCTAAACTGAACCACCAGGTCCCTTGGTTCTGCAGTTGAAGCCTTGTTGGATCTTGGGATGCGGAACAAACCCTCCAGCTGCATTGCCCTAGCTTGTTTCGATGGCAGCAAGGTGTCCCACAGCCGCCTTGTGGAGTGCGGTAACTCCGCGTCCAAAACGGTCTCAGCTACCCCCCGCACCTTTAGATTGTTGCGGCGCCTGTTGTCCTCCAGCGCTGCAAAGCGGCGTTCGTGCATCGAGTTTTGTGTGCGTAGGTCTGCCATCTCCCGTTGGAGTGTTGCTATATGGTGGGTGTTCTGGGTGGTTGTGCCCTCCAGGGTTCCCATGCGGCCTGTGAGGCCCTGTATATCGCTGCGGACCGCTGCCACATCAGCTGAGATATGTTTCTGGAGGTCGGCCAGGAGTTCCTGCAGCACCGCTTTAGTCACCGGTGTGCTGTCAGGTTTGTCCGGGTTGTGCTGCAGTCTCGTTGCCCCTCGCGGGGTCTGTTCCTCCATTCCGCCAGAGTAGTCATCCGAGTAATCGGATTCACAATCCGAGAGGGCGGCCATTTTAGGCCCCGTCACTCCCTGCGCCTGGCGCCACATATCGCCGATCGTCATCCCCAGGTTTGGTTTGTCAGGTCTTTGTTTTTTATTCTTCCTCCCCATGTCGGTTAGGCTTTGTGTGGGGGTTCCCCGGGTCCCGATGGCTGGAGGTAAGGCGGCTAGGAAACCGATTGTCGTGCCGGACGCTTGGGAGCTCTTTAAATTAAATTTTAAAAAAAAACGTCAATACAAGGAGTACATTGATCAGGGATGGTCGAAAGATAGATTGTCAGCTGTAAAAATAAACCTATTATGATGCTTTAAGGACTAATGACCTACCTTCGTCAACCCAATGCTATCAAACATGCATCAGGGAAATTAAAAGTATCATATTCAATAGTTAACATGTTAATGACTGCTGATTAGCAGTTACCGATGTTGAAGCAAGAATATCCTAAATATTTCAGTACACCACAAAAACTACTGACTTGATGACATATACAAACAACATCAACGAACAACCTTTCCCCTTTGGGAAACTCTTAGAAAGCACCATTCTTTTCTTTTTTATTATGTGGGGGGTGCCTTTCAAACTCAACATCACTAAATTTAAATTACCAATGAAACCAAGGTTAGGCCTGGTTTCCAGAAAATTCTTCTTTACCAGCAGGAAAAAAATAAAAATAATTCGTGATTATTAGATTGTGATTGCATTGATAACGGTCCCTTAGCACAGGCCAAGTTAGAAAAAAAACTCAAATTTATTACAGTCTATAGATTCTAATTTAATTCTAGAAGATGGTAAAAAAATCTGTTTTACTCATCAAAATGATTTCCCTAAAAAGTGTTAAACTGATAAAATACCATTAACCACAAAAGTACTAAAACAAACTGATAAAAAAAACAAACAAATTAACCGCAATTAATAGTTTGAAAACTTCCTTTTGCATCATCTGTTAAAAATACAGAGTTTTGTAAAAACCCTGACTGACACCCGTTTTCCCACTTGGGTGTTTCATCACAGACGTGTCTCTGATCACACCATATGGGTATTTAAAAAAAATAAATAAAAAAAAAAAATATGAGCAGTTCAAGGTTTGTCCCAAATTCCAGAGCACAGTGGATCACTGTGTTCACGAACATAACAGAATGGTGCAGCCTACTTACCCTCCATAGCGTACGCTCTCTTTTTCTGTAGGTCTTCTGCATTCTCACACATGTCGCTGTAGGCCCGAGCAAGACGCCAAAGAAAGTCTTGATTCTCCCCGTACTATACAAATAAAGAATAAAAGACGACTCAATTTTTCAACATCACCAGATAGATTAGAGTGCTAAATTTATTTGTAGGTTAAATGGTTAAACATATAGAATTCTAAAAACATACAACATGTAAAATCTAAACCTCTGAAGAAATGTAACATTTGTATATTAGGAGGCAAACAAAATGCCTTTCATATTTACAAACCATTCTAAATAACTTGCAAGGTGTGTCATTAAACACAAACAGCATCGAGCTCTAAACCAGCAGACAACAGCAACTCTCGCCAAGGACAGACAGCTGACTGGGCTGTGCAGGGTTCATTTAGATGCCAGTCTGTGCTTTTTACTAAAATGTCAAGTACAAAAACAAACAGATGACTGGCTGAGAGTGCTGGGGGTGTTAATATTTTTAGCAATGCAGACAGACAGTGATCAAGTCCTATTTGTGGTAAAGATGTATCTAAAACTACGCTATGGTGTCCTGAGATTCTAGGCAAAATAACCATTGTACAAGCTGTAGAGCTTCTGTAGCTTAGAGCACTCCTATAAGTAATCGATACTTATAACAGTGCCGCAAAAAGCATTACAAACAAACACCGTCACTAAATGAAGCAATGGCATTCTACATCACTACTATGCATCTGACCGCTAGGAAACGTGGGATGTAGTTTGAATTGTTGGAAGGAGGGATGGCTGCATATTCAGATGCACATTTCAGTCCAAAGGGCCATGCTGCATATGTAGAGAAAGTCTATAGAGCTGCAAATTCATTTCAGGTTAGTATTAATTTCTAGATTTGCTGGTGAATTTGCCAGCACAGTCTGTAGATTATAACTATACCAACCATAGCAAACTTACAGCATGACAATAAATGGCTGTTCAAAAAATGAATGGGTGCAAAAGATAAACACTGTAGCATTGGGAAGCTACTGCGCATGCGTGGCAAATCACCGCGCTGCGCTAACCCGCATCTCCTCAGAGATTCGTTGAGTTAACACATTGGTCCAGCAATTTTTGCAAGACTGAACCCAGGAAGGCCCTCTAGTGGCTGTTTGAGTGACGACCACTACAGGTGGGACTAGGTAGCTGTATAAAAAAAAAAAAAAAAAAAGGCAGTGGTTACACTACATTTAAGCTGTACTGGTTATGGTGCCTACAGTGTGCCTTTATAAAAAAACAAAAAACAAAACAAAAATTTTTTTTAAAAAAGGTGTGACATAAGAAAAATGTAAATAAAAATATTTTTACCAATCCTTTATTACAGCGGAGCAATTGGAATGACTCTTTTTTCTGCTCCGAATCCCCATTGTAAAGTTGATCTACTTTCTGAACCAATAGTGTCAGTTTGTCGTCAAAACAGTCAAGGGTCTGTGTAAAATCTCCGTCATCTGACGTGAGGTCAGCCGAATCCCTGCGTATCGTCCTTATGGTTTCACAGCTTATTTCATCTTCTTCCTCGCTGGCCTTAAAACTCTCACGGTCATAATCGGATTCTGCGTTTGCTGTAGTGTAGCTACAAAGGATGATGGAATCGTGACAAACATTATGAAACCAGAGTAAAAGCTCACAAGAGTAAAGTGGAGAACTTGATAAACCATAGGCAATACACCTACGATAACATGCACTGAATTCTCAAAAATACACGCCCCATGACATCATCCAGTAAGCTAGCATCGATTGCAGAAGGTACACATATATGAAATGATAGGATGAGCTAGTGTGAAGGGGATTCATGTGAAATTAGGAGCAGATATGGTCGTAGAGAAGGAATCTGTTGTAGTGGAAAAGATGGAGACTGATAAGGAAATATTTACCCGATACGATGTGGGGGAAATGTATAGATTGTGAATACTGCAAAGAAATAAAAGAAGGGTAGTGTGCTCCAATATAGAGGAGAGCTCCTATATTATTATCCGTTATAAAGCACCAACAAATTCCGCAGCGCTGTACAATAGTATAAAAAGAGTTATAATATGAACTTGTCAGAAAGAGGAGAGCTTTGTATGGTGATAAGAAGAATCTGAGATGTAATGCAGCAAAGCAACTGAAACATATATGGGGAAAGTCAGCACCATTAACAGGGGGAGTAGGTAGTGGCGTAAGAAAAATAAATGAGAAGACAAAGATTTTGGCCAACCAAAAGCTTTCCCATAGGGAAAGGACTGGATTGGCTGAAATCACCAAGGATGCAGGACGGGCCACCTCCTCAGAGATATACATTGAATCACTGCATCTCTATGAGGAAAGTTCTGCATCCCCATGCAGAGCACAGTGTGCAGCACTGTCCCAGGAAGCACCTTCATTGGCCATCTGAGGAGTGGCCGCTGGACATGTCCATAGGGGGAAATGGAAACACTGCCCTTTCTCTGAAAAGACCGTGTTTACGGCAAAAAGCCTGAAGGGACTGATTATACTTACCAGAAGCACTACATTAAGCAGTAGTTGTTCTGGTGACTAGTGTCCATTTATACTAATCACCCTTACTACCAACTGGTACAAATAGAATGTAGCACACAAACCCCAGGCCTTTATTTAAAAAAAAAAAAAAAAAAGCCGTCTGCAGTGGTGATGGTACTCTCTACCTTTTACAATGGTTTGACTTCTTTGCAGGGTCCACGAGGCACCACTCCTCACCTCCACTACTGATAATGGAGAGCCAGAAGATCTGGAAGAGTGTAGGGCTTAGTTCATTGGCTGACAGCAATCGATCGACCCTCTCGGCCCTGCACTGCTTAATTCAGGAGAGCAAACTGAGGTCCTGCTTAGGAGCTTCCATCTCTCTATCATCAGTAGTGGAGGCAAGGATCAGCTGCTGTCATGTTCCTAACGTGGTGCTACTCCAGAATTGCTTGTCCAATTCATCCATATTATGTAAATTGCGCCGGTAAATCAATAATAGCTTTTGCAGAAATACAATCCCCATGATGCTCTGACAGCCTTAACACTGTCATAGCTTAGCAGTTCTGCAACAGCTCAGGTGTACACAGGATATACGCAATATGCATGAAAATATACTGCACTTTTAGATTTAAAAAACAAACAAACAAACCAAAAAACACTTTTTGGTCATCAGCTGCAATGGAGGACAATATTTAGGTAAAAAGATCTGATTACTATATTTTAAAAGGTAAATCCAATTGACTGAGCGGATCATGAATTTTTACACATTGACAATTTATATTGCCAACTCCTTACCCTCCTTCACTTTCCATATCTGTGTTCGCTGGCCCAGAGCTGGTTGTGAAGTATATTGAGCTAGATCCTGTTGAATCAGTCCTCTCTCTGTGTAACGGATATCGCCGGCGTCGAGCTGCCTTCTGGCTTTCCTCTATTTGTGACCTACATAATGGACAGATTACGTTTAGATCCTGAAAGTATTATGTGTGCTCTTTCCCAATTACAGGTAACATTTATTTCATATTTAAAATACTTTGTTTTTTACATATATAATTAAAGGGACACAACAGGCACTATAATCGCTTCATCTCATTGAAGTGGTTATAGGGTTTGGAGTTCCCTACAGACACCTTTCCATACAACGTTAAACCGTTTTGAACAGTTTAATACTAAATGAGTATTAGCAGCCCAGCAGCCCATCCCCCTGTGCTGCTCGAGTTAATGAGGAAGTATTAGCCTGAGCAGCAATGGGAGGCTGTGATTGGCTTGTCACTGGATATTGGACAGTTTCAGCTGACTGTATTCAGCCTATCAGAACTGACTGCTGGTATGAGTTGGTATAGCTAAAGAGTGTAATTTGTGCCAAACCTCCAGCAGGGGCTGTGCTGAGAGTGGCCGAGAATGCTTGCTCAGAGTCAAACTATTCAGAAACAGGTTAACATTGAGTGGAGGGATTCCAGACACTATAACCACTTGAATGGTAAACACTACCACAGACGTGAAGCAAGACAAGAAGCTCAGCTGAATAGATCAACCTACCAGCACTACCTTCAACTACCGAACTGTCAAGGCCCTGCATTTGGAATAGATATGGACTTGAGACATATACGAATGCAAATGTTCACACCAGGCTCATCTATCTGATCATGCTACATAAATCCCATCTTCCCCAGTCTGGCTTACAACCCCATCCACAACTCATGTTGAATATCTGAAATTAATACTTAGTACTCCCAATGTCCTAGGGCAGGGGTCGGTAACCTCTGACACACCACATGTTATGGACTACATTTCCCATAATGCTGGTAAAAGCATCGGGAGAGATACAGTCCAAAACATATGGGGTGCTGAAGGTTGCCTACCCCTGTCCGAAGGTTCTAAATATAACAAACTTGGACAGTCTCCCTCCGTTACAATTTTCAAGAACTCTCTCAAAGCTTATCTCCTTACCAAGCCTCTTATACAATTTCACTAATAAGCATAAGGTGGAAAAAACAAACACCCTTTGAATTTAAGGACCAAGGATTGGTGGTATCACCGCAAGAGCTCCAGAAATTCCCATAAAGGTGAATTTGTAAATCCAGTGACAAGGGAAGTTGTAGAAAAAGTCTGAGTTTGTCTAGTAATGTCAAGTGCGCTATTACCCTGGAATATGGGAACATCACGAAAGAATAGTGCATAAAACACAGGGAGTGCCTAGTCTGGTAAAATGGACTCAACGTCGCGTCCATTATACAAACATGCAGGGTATTTTTGAAACAAATTACTCATACTCTCAAGGCTGTATATACATTGATGATCCCTCACCATGTGTGAGACTTTCAGGGTTTTTCACTGAACTGAGTATTGTTTAGAATGAAAAGTAAAATTGAACTTTAACACAAACATGTATTCCTGATGCTATAGTGTTAAAACCACAATGTAGCCCCCCTGCCCCTAAATATAGTAAAATCATACTTTCAATCAAGATTGCAGCTGCTGGCTCTGATCTGCCTGCTTGGCTGACATCATCAGAAGTAATTATCTGAGCCAGTGGCGTACACATGACCCATGGGGCCCCGGTGCGAAAATTGATCGGTGCCCCCCCCCCCCCCGCGCACTTACTCGGCGCAGGTCGGGGCCGTAACACATGGCGGCGGGCACCTGGTCGCAGGGGTGGCAGGGCTGCGACCCCGGTATGCACACACACACTTAAAGGACCACTGCAGACACCCAGATCACATCAGCTCAATGAAGTGGTCTGGGTGCCAGGTCCCTCTAGTTTTAACCCTGCAGCTGAAAACATAGCCGTTTCAGAGAAACGGCTATGTTTCACTGAGGGTAATCCAGCCTCTGGTGGCTGTCTCATTGACAGCTGCTAGAGGAGCTTCCGCGATTCTCACCGTGAAAATCACAGTGAGAAGACACTGAATGTCCATAGGAAAGCATTGAGTAATGCTTTCCTATGGGCGGTTTAAATGTGCGCGCGCCTCTTGCCGCGCATGTGCATTCGGAGCTGAGAGGCGGAGGGATCCCCAGTGCCAAGGGAGTCCGACGCTGGAGAAAAGTAAATGCTGAAGACACACACACACACACACACACACACACACTCTCTCATGAACAGACGCATACACACTAACAGACACACACATTTACTGACAGAGACACACTCAGCGACAGACATACATACACACTCACTTACAAAACATACACTTTCACTGACAAACACACACTCACTAACAGACATACACAGTAACACACAAACACTAACAGACACACACACACTAACAGACACACAAACAAACACACACATTTTTTTTTTAAATTTAATCCCCCCAGCCTCCTTACCTTTTGGAGTGCTGGAGGGATTCCCTGGGGTCCAGTGGTGCCGCTGGGCGGGCGGGCTGGGTGGCCGGCGCACGAGGGAGCACTCTCCTCTGTGCGCTTCCTCTTCAACTCCCTTGCGCACCGCACTGATACCGGAGCCGGAAGGCCTCCTGGGCCCCCTAGGAGAAGAGGCTGGCCCTGTGGGTACATACCGGGTCGCAGGGGCGGCCGGGCCCCCTGGTGGGCCGGGCCCGGCCGCAATCGCGACCCCTGTGACCCTGGTATGTACGCCACTGGTCTGAGCCAATCTCAATGATTCACCATAGGATTGGTTGAGACTGTCAAGGAGACAGATCAGGGGCAAAGACAGCACAAGCCAAACACAGCCCGGACCAATCAGCATCTCCTCATAGAGATCCATTGAATCAATGCTTCTCTATGAGGAAAGCTCAGTGTCTCCACGCAGAGGGTGGAGACACTGAATGTCAGTCACAATTTGCAGCACTGCCCCAGGAAGCACCCCCAGTAGTCATTTGAGGAGTGGTCAGTGGAGGTATCCCTAGGCTGTAATGTAAACACTGCATTTTCTCTGAGTTTTACCGTTTAGTGCAAAAATCCTGAAGGGAATGATTCTACTCACCAGATCAAATGCAATCAGCTGTAGTTATTCTGGTAACTATAGTGTCCCTTTACGGCCAAAATAACCAACAGGCAAAACAACTGCAATCCAGCTCTGCTTCTCGTTCAGCTAATTTGTTTTTTAACTTGAAATTCACTTTTGTCTCACTTTAGTAAATAACCCTTCTAGTAACAGGGATGGTGGGATTAAGGTACCAATTTGCTTAATTTAGAATTAAACTGAACAACATCAAGTAATTAAGGTGAGAGTTAAACCGGATCTTTTTTACATCCCCATGGTATTTGATCATTTAATATTTATTCATGCTCTAAAATTTCATTGCACGCATTTATCGTTATTTTACTCATATTTTTCGGAGTCATGTACAGGGTTGTTTATTTACTGTGAAGACATCATTCATTATATTACCAACACGTCTATGTGGATTATTCTTATTTTGAATGTAATAAACGTGTATTATCTGTAATACCTCATCCAATTAGCCATATTATTTAAATGATAATTTTCTATATTCTTCCATACTTTTGGAATACGGAGATATGGACAAAGTCCCCAAACCCTTTATACAGGAGAATGTGGCATTTAGGTATTGTTTTTCTGCATCTTTTTAAAAAAACAGCAGAAACCTACCGTACTTCTTCAACTATATCATCTGCTAATTCGTGGAGGCTGTTCCGAAGAGTTTCAACCTCCTCTCTCAACACAGTAATGGTGGAAAGAACATCGTCTAAACGATTCAGCAACTCCAACTGCTCACCGTGTGTCACAGCTTTGTTAACTGCCTCTCCCAACGCAGCTGAAAAATAGATTAAAAAAAATATATATCTACTCAACACTTTTTTAAAACAAAAAAAGAACGAAAACAATTATATTGCAGTTTAACATTATTAAAATTGCCAAACTCAGATAGTTTAAGCTATGATGCAAAGATATATTAATGTCCCAATATTTTGCAATCCTAAAGTATTCAGAGGAATGAACAACCTTCTGCGTCTAAATAACGAGTAGAATTCTTCAACAAATGTCTGACCACTAAAGCCATTGTATTCTTAAATAAGAACAACCTTCCATTCACCTTGTGACTGTGTTGATGATGGATTCGTGCTGCGGTCCGATGATTTATTTATACAGTACCTAGCCTGCTTGGAGAGCAATGTGTTATTCTTTTTAGAACTCCTCCTGTAAACAAAATAAATTACAACCGCAGCAGCTGTTCCAAATATCAGGCCACATCCAAGCCGGTATGTAAGGAGAAGTTTAGACATCATTTAATTTTCTTTCCTGGAAAAAAAAATATAAACAGGATTTTTAAGAGAGGAAAAAAAACCACACACCATATAGTTAAAAATTAATACATACACATATAGACAGAAACTTGGAAAACAATTTGTTCTCAGAAGTAGGTCATTCTCAATCCAAACTGGTTTCAGAAACTTGTTTGGAATCTAAGAGCCAGCTAAAAAAAGTTAGGAGCCAGTTTTTTGTTTTTTTTAAACTAGCAAAGCTTAATTAACAACGAGAAATATACAATTCTTAAAAGGACACTATAGTCACCAGAACCACTATAGCTTAATGTAGTTTTTATGGTGCCTCTAGCCTGTCCCTGTAGCCTTTTTAATGCAAACGCTGCATTTTCAGAGAAAAGGCAGTGTTTACATTTTGCCTAGTAACACCTGTAGTAGCACTCACTCAGATGGCCACTAGAGAGTTCTGTGTCAGTGCTGCATTGTGCCCTGCTCTGCATGACGGTGCTGAATGTTACCCATAGAGAACATGCGCAATATTCTCCCAATTCCTATGGAAAAGCATTGGTTTAGCTGAGATCATAAAGACTGATGATCTCAGCCATGCAGGCAGGACAAGCCGTGGCAAAACCAGCACGGCGCGGGAAAAAGGGGAGTAAAAACACCTCATGTGATCAGCAGGGGGGCCCCATACAGATACGCTCTGACAGATTGACACAGACACACAAACACTGACAGACATACAAACACTAGTAAAGTGTTGACAAAGACCTTTTGGGGTCGAAATGTTGCTGTTGTGGTTCCCAATAAAGTGCCTGTCTTGAACCAAGGAGTGCCTGGACCCCTATTACTTTACTAATGTTTGGAAATCTGGTGTTTGATTCCGGCTCAGATTTGTGGGAGTGAGTGCAGTTCCACATATACTATTCAAGACATACAAACACTGACACACTGACATAGACATACAGACACATTGATTTCATTGTAATTGAATCCACCCTGCCTCCCTACCTATGCATTGGGAGAGCTGAGTGGATCTTTCCCTGCGGTCCAGTGGGGCTGGTCTCTCATCCTGTGTGCGAGGGAGCAGTCATTTACCTGCAGCTCCTCTTTGCTCCCTGTAGTAATGCCGGGGCCGGAGTAATGTCATATTCTGGCTCCCGGCATCACTATACAGCACGAGAGTGCAGAGAGGACTTGTGATAGCCCTGAGTCCGGCCTCCTCCGTGATCCCCAAGACAGCCTCCCGTCCACATCCCCCCAAGGCGACTGGCCAACTCATTGTTCCCCCATCCGGCCACTTTAGGTAAAGAGCTGCAAATCCCAGGTGCCAGGGCAAAATTTCTAATCGCCATGGCGACCTGGGCATTGTCGAGCCCTGGGCTACAACACTGCTGGCTTGCTGGTTGTAATTATACAGCCCTCTCTGTCACAAATTACTCTGCAAACTGTAGTTCTGTGAGGGTACACAAACAGATCGCTGGGAACAGCATGATAAAGGAATCTGAAAAACTTAGATTATTAAACAGCAAATTCCGGCATAAGAAGCGCCTATGAAAGGAACACTATAGGCACCCAGACCACTTCAGCTCATTGAAGTGGTCTGGTGCATATTCCAAGGTCCCTTAAACCAGCAAAGGCAATTATTGCAGTTATTAATCAATAATTACCTTTATGGATTAATTCCACCTCTAGTGGCTGTCTACCTTCCGGGTCGTTAGGTAACTTTTGGTTGCATTACACTGGACGTCCTCGTGCCATGCGTGAGGAGATAGAGCGTCATCAAAATCCCTACATGAAAGCATTATTTACTATGGGGAAATCCTAATGCGAGCACGGCCATTGCAACACACGCACATTAGATCTCCCCCGCTGACATCAGCTAAGGAGACGTACCCGAGCCAGTGCTGAGGGACATCGGCGTTGGACTGAGGTAAGTGACAGAAGGGGTTTTTAACCCATTATGCACCACGGGGAGGGGGGAGGGAGGGAGGGAGGGAGGAAGGAAAAACAACTTTTTTCCTGGTGCTGTAGTTTCCCTTTAATGCCTTGACTATTGCAATGCACAATAGAGCATAGGACTTCCAGAGAAGAAGTCACAGTGGGTAAAATTAATCAGCAAAGTACGTTGTAACCAGTTATAACACCTATTCTTTTTAAATAGTTATTATTAACAGTGTTTCAAATATTTTTACAAAACCTATTCTCTGTTCAAACACTGGCAGCCTGTAACTGTATCATATTACAATTTTGGATTTCTGTCTTTTATAGTTCTATACAATTCACCCGAAGAGGTCCATAGATTTCCAATCAGGATTTTGTTACAGCAGTCTATAACCTTCTCATTAATGGACCACTATAGGCATCCTAATCACTTCATCTCAATCAAGAGGTCTGGGTGAAGTGGCACTATCATTTTTAACCTGCAATAGCAAACAGAGCTGTTTTGTAGAAACTGCAATATTTACATTGCTGGGTTAAATACCACTCTAGTGGCAGTCTTCCTGGCAGCCACTAGAATGTGCTTTAGCTGCAGTAATCAAGTCAGACTCGTTTCTTCAATCAAAGCTTCTCACAGAGAACATTTGACTGGACGAACATGGCATATTGAAGGCATGCGCTTCTCGTCATTGGATCGTACGAGAAGTCAGAAGAAGTCAGCATGCTTGCAGAGGAAGACGGAGGAGGATCAGACTACTGCAACGCTGGTGTCTCAGTGCCGGAAACAAGGAAAGTAAAAAATATTGGCATAACATTTAACAAAATGCGGGGTGGCCAGAGGTCAAAAGGTAATAACAGGGAACTTATATTCGCAAAAAAAAAAAATTATTATTATTGGGACAATAGGCTCCCTTTAACCCCTTAAGGACCAAACTTCTGGAATAAAAGGGAATCATGACATGTCACACGTCATGTGTCCTTAAGGCGTTAAACATCCAAGTTCTTGTATGGAGCACAACGTCAGGACACGGATATAGGTATCGGACCACTCGGCTACACCAAATTGCCTCAGGCGCTTTCAGCCCTACTGTATCAAAACAATATTATGTTTGATTACATCAGATTTCCTTTTTATGGGATCACAATATAAGGAGATAGGCTTTGGGTAGAAGAACACTCCTGCATTTTATGTCAAACAGTATAAGGAAAAAAATACACCCACGGCTTTTTAGCACCATAATCACTACAATAACATGACTTGTAGAGGCCCTTATCAGCAAACTGTCTGTCCCGATCGACGTTTCTACCCTTTAAGGGATTTTTCAAGATCACATGAGCACATTAGACCTCAGAGTGCACCTCTTTCTTCATTGGAATATATATATATATATATATATATATATATATATATATATATATTTTTTTTTTACATACACATATAGTGGAAAGGTGGAAAACCGATTTAAAACACCTGCCAAATTACTGCTAACAAAAGAAAGATGTAGACACATTATATATTAGACAATAGCAGAATTTTGAAATAGCTCACAGAAAGAAAGAAAAATTCAGATTCTCACATCAGGTTTAGATATCTTTTTTTTGTACTTTTGTCCTGTTTTCAAGCTTGCTGTAGTGGTTATGGTGCCTCAACATTTTAAATTGTCTAACCGTTTCTGAACTGTTTAACTTCTTACTTGGACTTGGCTTACTGGCTGAAAGCAATTAGCAGTTCCTAGCAGTAGCTTCAGGCTCTCAGATCAGAAGGGAAGGGAAGGGGTATGGAGTGACGCCCGATGGATCCCAGGAAAAAAAAAGTCAAACCATTGAAGACTGTTTGATCACTTTCAATGCAAATGTGCCAGGTCACTCCTGGCACCACAACCACTACAGCTATGGTGTTTATAGTGCAATGGTTCCTTTAATTTCACACACGGCTAGTAATCATTTACTAAACTCAAACTTGTAGGCCAAAATTGCCAAAGTTCCCAAAATCCAGAATGGTTTCAATTTGGCTACAGTGACTGAAAATTTTAAAATTCACTTTGAATGCGAAAAGAGAATATATCACTATATACACAACAATGTGATGGAGAAGAAACCTCCAAAAGTATACCTCGCAAACAAGTGAAAAAAAAAAAAAAAAAGTAGAGGAATCTGATAATTAATAATACAAAACACACAGCGTAATTAGGACCGTAAGATTAAAAATGTTGTGAAACAAATTAAAACCTCAAAACGGGATAAAAGCACCAAATAAAGATGTCTAAATGTGATGTAAGAATCTGGAAGAGAAAGCATAACTACATATAGTGTAATAAAGTTATATTATTATTATTTTATTTATATAGCGCCATCAGATTCCGGTGGACTAACAAACATGTAATTGTAACCAGACAACTGGACTTACAGGAACAGAGAGGTGGAGGGCCCTGTTCAATGAGCTTACATTCTATTAAAACATTTGTAGTTTTGCTTTCTCTTCCAGATTCTCACTTTAGGTTTAGATCAGATCTTTATTTTGTACTTTTATCTTGTTTTCCATCTTGCTGTAGATTGTAATTTGTCTTATATTACTTTCATGTTGAACGTGCTTATAATTTCAGACAATTTCAACCCCTCAGGGGTTACATTTACTAAATCTCAAATTGTATTGAATTCAATGTCAAATAACCAAAATGAAACTAAAATAGAAAAACCAAGTTCCCCACCACAGCTAGTTTGACAATTTAGCCCCAGTTTTGAATGTAGTTAAACCCTCTTAATATATGCACCCTTTAAGGCACACAGTCATGAGACTCACTCACAAGCCTGATGTAAATATAACTGACAACATGGTACAGGATACTCATTGCTCTTGTATTAGCCCCAGGTAAGACATGAAGCTTAGAAACCATTAATAAAATAAAAGTAGAAAACTCAGCTCCTATCACACCATATAGTGACCCACAGGCTGGGTGGTTAAAGGTCCAATGCAGCACTCACCCCTGCCTGGCTGGCTGGTGCAATCCACAGCTCCTGGTGCAGCATGCACATAGAGTAAGTTCCGGGTTCAGAATGAGGCTTGGAACGCAAAACATCACCCATCATGCTTCACGAATCTCTATTGGTTTCTCCAGCAGCACATGGTTCTTTGACTGCTTGGGGAGTAACTGTTACTGACACAAACTGTATAATTAAACAAACAGCAAGCATTGCCAGCAGGGTACAAGGTGGAATGCACTCTGCAATTGTTAATTTGAAAGTTAATTTTTTTTTTTTATTTCATAAGAAATCAGCCTTACACCTCATACAGTGCACAGTGAAGCTTCATTGATTGGGGGACAGTATCTATGGTGGGGCACTCAAAGCATCCACAAAGAATATATATGTGCAATGGGTTGGTTAATGCTAGCTTAGTTTTACTAAATATGTCTTTATCTACCTGTCCCTTTATATTATATCTCCCAAGTGGCCCCTTTTAGGAGGGACAGTCCCTATTTTGAGCCCAAATCCCTCTTTTCTATCCTAAAGTCCTTCTTTTCTAGGAGTCCTGTATTGTGGGTTTGTGTCCGGGTGAATAACAAAGCTCCACAGAAAAAAATACTCCCAGTAATGAGTCTTTAAACTGCAATAAATGTGTTGTTAAATCAGTCTGTGCAAATGAGATGCATTATTCTTGTTCTAAATAATGTGCTACTTCCATAAATTGTTATTAGTAATTCACCTAAAATGTCTTAACAGACAAAAATCTGTTTTAACAAAAAAAGTGTTTTGTTCAATTCAATAAGCTGAAGGGGTTATGGTGTCTAGTGTCCCTTTAAGACTTAAAGGTTAAGTTAACGCAAAAATGTTCTATGGCAGGTGTTACTATAAACTACGTTTAATTGAAGATGTTCAATTAAACACATTCATTCAAATATCGGAAGCGCTTTTACTGTTTTTTATTTTTGTTTGGCTAAGAGTGTCAGCTCTGGTGCTTAGAGTGCCCTTTGAATTACCACCTCTGGGTATAGGTCAATAATAGTATAAAGATAACATAAAAAAAAAATAAAAAAATTTAATACAGAAAATATCTATTAATATTTAAAACCGGTGATAGTTCCTGTAATAGCCTCCTTCCTACACAGTATGTAGTTATCTAGGTATCTAGAGAAGTACTAAAAACTACCCGATGTATACGTAGAACATCTGTTGTATGTCAATGCTCTGCAAAGCAAAATAATCACTTTAAAGGGATTCTATAGTGCCTGTGTCAGGCTCCACCTAATGTGCATGCGCGGCAATAGTCGCGCTCACATTAGGATTTCGCCATAGGAAAGCATTGTCCAATGCTCTCCAATGGGGAAAAATCTGACACTATATGTCCTCATGCAGAGCATAACGTCCAGTGTCAGATACCGTAACAAAGGTCCGTTTCAATTCAGTAGGTCCATCTAGTGGTCCAATAATTACCACCATAGGGTTAAGGGACATGGGACATTGCACTCAGACCACTTCAATGAGCTGAAGTGGTCTGGGTGCCTACAGTGTCCGTTTAACACAAATTCAGGTTTTTCCTCCCCTCCTTTCTTTCATTTTAGTCGTTCTGCCAAACAGAGCCTTTCAACAGCCTCGTCCAACCCACCCTGTACAGGCGCCTGCATGGCTAATTCTGTAAAGTGCGCTTAATAGCACTTACAGGAGGATACATGAAGAAAGACTCTGCAATTGCAACTTACAATGTTTTCGGTTTGTTTTTTTGTTTTTTAATAAGGTTGCTGTTTTTTTCCCCATACAATTTTATTTGCTATAAGTTAGCATTAAGCCTTTACACATTTTTCTGAACATATGGGAAGTATTGCCGCACCAAGGATATCAATAATCTTGCATACTTATCACACCTCAATATTTCTGTAAACCATATACAGAGTTTATTTTCAGTGTCCCAGAACAGCAGTCTATACATGGTATTGTTACACTGTACTAATTTAATTGTACTAGTTACATATCCATTTTTTTTTTACTTAGGCTATAAACATCCAGCAGTGGTTGCTATAGTAACCTTATCCCCGGAAAGCCTGCTATCTGTAGGCACAGAACTCGTGGCTTCCATAGAACGCTTGTATACCAAGACAGGAAAAACAGTGGATCCTCTGAACTTTTCGATAAAGAGCATGTTTGAGCAGGGCCCACCATCTCTGTCAACATAATTTTGTCATTCAATATATATATACCCAATGGATAATTGTGAAGCTCTGTAGGTGCTATAAAAATTCTAATATTCATTTTAATTGCATCACTGACCTGTATGCAAAATACATTAGCTCAAGTAGCCCAGAGGGGGTGGGCTACTGAGAACTCTCGTTTAACATTAAACTTTTTAAAAAATGTAATGCTGAATAGAACTATGGTGTCAGGAGACTCTAGACACTATAACCACTTCAATGAGATGAAACAGCTACAGTGTCCCTTTAACTGCTATGCACTCTTCCTACTAAGCGAGGCAAACTGCCCTGTAGTTCTGCAACAGCTGAGATGACATATAGAATAAAAATAAGAACAAGAATACAAATAAATGCACACAAATACATTTAAATACATTTATTGCACAATAAGTACTGAATAGTGCTGAGAATCAAACCCACTGGAGCGGAATTACTGCATTAACCTATTTTTTGAAAAAATGTTTAAATGACCGGGACAGACAATAATACTGTGAATATTAAAATTTGGTTGTAGATACTGAACAGATTGGCACTAAAAGCATGATTAATCACAGAATTTGGCCTCAGATAAACAATTCATAGTTTTTAGTGCTTTCTGGCTGCTTTACGTTTCTTGCGTTCCAATGCTGCCGTTAATGCTTTCAATATCTGATCCTGGTTGTTCAGTACATTATACCGATTCACCTCGATTAATTGATCAAAATGATTTGGCTCATAGGTGAAGTTCTTTGTCCGATAAGGAGAGTCCTTTGCCGTTAAGGTAAAGTCACCATCCGATATCTCCTTTTCTGTCTCACGCTTAACCCCTGTGATAAGCATGAGGCAAGATAAAGAGTTAAAAGGACAGAATATTTCATGTGCATATAATAATATACAATCAAAGCAGCGAGCCCAGATACAAAAAGCTCACAAATATTGACAAGACACTTCACATTAAATCTGACAATGACAAAAAGATTGAGAACCATTAGTTGACCTATCCTTGTGTGTTTAAAAAAAAAAAACACACATTATAGACAACATGAATTTAGATACATGTATATTAATTTAAAATAAAAAGAAAATGTTGATTCTTTAATCTTTGTGGCTTCTGACGCCACTTCTGTCTGGACAAGGTAGTCACTCAGTCAAATATATTGTTCCATTAACCTTCTACAACAGTGCGGTGCATATCCCAAGAGATTACTGCTCGGGAGTGCTTTATGGGTTACACATGGGATTCTGGGAGTTTTCGCTTATTGGTTCTCTCTCTACTGTAGAAACCTCTGCTGTGCATCATGTACAGCTCTATTACTAGAGCAAAAAGGGAGATACAGAAAGAGGAAATCACGGTGCAAACCGATTTATTATTTTTCTAAAAAGACTAAAGAATATGAATAAGTATATGTAACGGCACCCCGACTGGGTACGTTCTGTTGACGGATGCTCCTAGTGCTTCCCGAGGGCTCCAAGCACTCCACTAGACACCATAACCACCGCAGACCCCACAAACCGCCGCAGCTTGGTTGGGGTCTTGCAGTCTTCCTCCTACTCTGGGCCCAAGACCAGGGACCAGCTTCCAGTAGGCAGACCTCTCCTAAATCCAGAGCAGGAACAGGAACAAACTATTACAAGAGCTTACTCTGGGGAGTATAGTGATTATAGCAATCCCCAAAGTGTAGGTAGTTCTCCAATCCCCCAAACATGAGCCAAGACTTCATGAAGGGTAGAACAGGTCAGTTTAATGCAAGCCAGCACTCACAAATTATACAATTCCTCATGCCAGAGGCACAACCCCAGGGCTTGATGGAACACAGGCACACAAACCAATCAGAACAATACAACAATGTCTGACCCTCCCATTTTTACAAACCCCATAAAGGACCCCAAAATACATCCCCTGATAGCCCGATCTGGGTGAACAACATATCCAAAAATCACCCAGATCTGTTCAGGGGTTCAGGAATTTCCTGGAAGTCTTATTTTTGCCCCACCGTGCACATGGTCCCATGCCCAAAACAGTTCCATACACTCAATGGCAAAACACTGCTGGACAATTTAAGATGGCCGCCGCCGCCACATGTTTGAATCTGTTCCAGTTAAAAGTCCAGAAACAGTGCCTTTAAAATCCAATATGCCCAAATAGTGTTTTTAAAGGGCAATATATCCCAGGGGCCATAGTCACAGGGCAAGAGGCTGGCAAGCAGGCCTCTCCAAATCCCAATGACGAAGGTGCTTAAGTGACTATAACCTAACCTACACAGTGTACTTGTGTGGGTTTCTGGAGAACCCTGTTAATAAACGGAAAAAAGATAAGGGATTTATGAAGATAATGTGGGGGTTAATAAGAATGATCAACATGGGGAGAAGGGGTTGATGATGGTATTTATAGAGATAACTAAGCCAACAAATACAACCATATTTAACAAACATTAAAACTATATAGGATATAGTACAAAAACAGAAACTTGGCAGAGATACCTGGTGCTTTGAATTTTCTGAATGTTTTGTTGACCATGGGAAAGTGAAGCACTATGGGACATCTTGGGTCATTCTCGTCCATAAACAGGTAACATTCCTTTGGCTGTTCCTTATCCTGTTCACTCACAGTTACATCAGGGAATGGGATTCTTCGCTCCTTACAGTACTGCTGCGTGAGATCCAGGACCTGAGGGTCAGCATCGGATAAACAGCAAAGTAAAACATGGAGTTATTACTGAGGCCTTACTAAAATTCTCCCTCAAATCATTATTTGTTTACTGGTTGTGAATATTATTAAAGTGCGTTCTGTGTAGTGCCAAACTATTAATTCACCTTGTTTTAAACACTGCTAGAAAATAAACAATAATCTACAGCTAATAGTTATATCAGGGAAGAAGGGCAGGTCAGTGAGTGTAAAAACAGGGCTGTATTTGTGTAGCATGTGGGTTTGTGTGTGTAAAGGCATGCCTGCTGAGTAGTGTCAGTGTATGTGAATAAAGAAGTAGTGGGTAGTGTCAGTGCGTGTGAATGCAGCGATGTTGAATACTGTCAGTGCGTGTGAATGTAGAAGTAGTGGGTAGGATCAGTGAGCAGGGTGTTGAGTAGTGACAGTGTGTGTGAATGCAGGGTTGTTGAATAGTGTCAGTTTGTGTGAATGCAGCATTGAGTAGTGTCAATGTGTGTGAATGCAGAGGAATTGAGTAGTATCAGGGTGTGTAGAGCGTTGGTGTATGTATGAATTTTTCCAGATAACATGCAGAGCATCTAAAAACCAAAAGAACACTGGAAACAAATTGGATATAATACCAGGCATCCCAGGTTTATCGTTTGTCACCTTATAGCTCAATGAATCTAACCGGGATTATGCTCAATTGTGCCCAGTGCCTTCTTCTGTTTGTGGATGACTTTGGCTTGTGGCCGCTCTAGACTGGTCACTGGTGGCACTTGGATATATCCCCTTTATTTTTATACCATCTCTTCTCTATTTCATTACTATCAGGTAGAGTAATGGCATATCTCCAAGCAGTAAATTCCTAGACATCACTCACCTTAAATGGAGCATTCCACGAGTAGTCAAAAGACAGAATTACATCAATGTGTCTTTCCGGCTGCAGGACCAACGGGAACGGTGAGTTAATCGAGAAGCCCCCATCCACTAAGTAGAGGTTTTCCTCCATTGGAGTAAGCTGGTTTGGGAAAGCATCGGGGTGATTTCCTAAAAGAGGCAATGCAGACACTTATTGCTCTAGTGATAGTTTTAGTAATTTATCCCAATATAAGCACCCTATAATTGATGCAGCAACGCCAAAAGGGTGAAACTAGTCTCATGTAAGGTAAAAAAAACAATGGAGTAATAGTCAAACATTAAGCACGATGTGACTGACATCACTGCAAACAAAACGTTACACGATAAATTCAATAATAACAAATTATACTACATTATCGGGTTCCAATCAGATGTGATTCTATTACCTTTCCATGCCACAAACTCGTGGGCCCCTACATAGTTCTTGTAGAGGTAAAGCCCCCGAGTGAAGTTATAGCGTTCGCCTGCGGTAAACCGAGACTTAAAGAAATCCTGGAAAATGCTAGACACAATTCCTCCTGGCATCACGAGACGAGTTTGCAGTCGAGAATCTCGAAAGTGTAATTTTCTACAGCCATCTGGAAATATAGATGTACAATGTTCATAGATAAGCTAAAACGACCACTAGCCCTTTGTGTTTCATGTTCTGGTTTTATAGATTGAGTGGAACGCTAAAGTTTTACAAATCTGCTTACCTATCACTTTGATGACATCACTTAGAGAGCTAAAGATGCGGCTTCCCGTGCCAGTTGCCTGAGCCCATATCTCATCGAGATTAGCAGCAAATGCGCTGCCCCATACACCTATAAACGAGTAAGGTGATCCATTGTGATCAGAGAATAAAATGCCAAAATCACACTGCATAAACCTGCACCAATAAACCTTCTAACCAGCTTGATCTAGCCATGAGTTAAATCCTAAAACAAATAAGTATGGCAACACATCAGGTTCACCACTCCTTCCTAATCAGTAAAGGTTTACTCCTAGCACCATAACCACTTTGCTGCAGGAGGTGTAACTCCACCACTGGCAGCATCATTGGGGCATAAGTAGCTGCACAGAAAGACATTCATTGGTTGACAGCTGTCAGCTGATGCTCTCACCCAATTAATTAGCAGCATGATCAACATGCGCCATCTGCAGCTGGGAAGTAGTGGGGGTGTCGGAAACATACACCAGGAAATAGGGTTTTACTGGAGGGTCGCCATTGTTGCAAAGCTAGAACAATTATGCATGCATGGCGTACGGTGTATAAAAGGACACCACTAGAGACGAGGTCAGTATTAAACATGACACCCGAGTAAGGCACAACATTGGTTGTAGCAACATGGTGGGTGGCCGTGTCAGAAGCAACAGTTATCATGACATTTTAGTAGTTAATACAAATATACTTGTGCACATGCATGATTGCCATTGGCCAGGTATCAATGAGGGGAGTGTCTGTACCATGGGTAACTCAAGAGATTGGAAAACAGAATGGAAATAGCGCTTAGTGTCAGAGATGGGCAGCAAAAACCAGCAAGTACCCTTACAGATGTGCGATGTTAGGCAGTATTCCAGCATACTCAGAAACAATGATAGAACACTTCAAAACTGTAACATAGTTAGATTAGAATTTTTGAAGAAATATACTCACAATATAAAGAGCAAATGACCTTGCTCGGATTGTCTGTACTTTGGGTAGTTCATCCCCCACCAAACAGACTTTCCAAATTTAGCTCTGTAGCTCTAATAGCTCTACTGGAGTGTTGTCTTTTTTTCTGAGCTGGAATACAGGATAGCATCGCACAGTTACTGCTCAGCTGCATCCCTGTCCGAGTTGTGCACCTGCACCATATCGCAAAATCTGCCATCTGTCTAGGAATCCAGTTGCCCTGCTATTCAAAGTGGAGATTATACCGCTCCTGCTTAACGATTCATAGCAAGCCCGATAGCTTGCTATGAGGGAGTGATTGCTATTTATTCAATATAGAATGTAGAGTATCACACTATATACTTCTGTCTTTTTTTTTTTTTTAAGGTTTTTCGCAGTAGTGAAGTAGTGAATACTACAAGCAACATTGTAAAATATTGCATTACAACTCAAGAAATGTTAATAGTACTACTAAAAAGCAGAAATAAATCCACTTGATCATGTAAAGTTACTGAGCTATACGTTATTACAAAACTCACCTTCCAGGTAACAGATTTTAGGTTCCTTTCTTTTGTGAATAAGGTGCCCCATGAAAAATTCACTACCAAAATCTTCAGTGCGTACAAAGGCTCCATATTTTCGGAATCCGACCTCATGGGGTGTAAACTCGCACCATTCTGAAGGGGATAAAAGAATATAGGCAAGTAATTGGGATTTAACTATCAAAAAGATATTAAAGTGTCAACTTAATTAGACAAGTTCCATATATATATTAACATTAAGTTATTCTCACTTGGGCTCTTTCTGGTTACTGACCACGATTTCAGATTTATTCTGAAATCAAAGTATCAAAACACGTCTCTGATTTAAAATGGGCCAGTTGGTCTTCATCACCCACCATCTCAAAACAGATAAAATCAAATATATTTACAATTTAATAAGATAAACCTTTTTGTGAAGGTATTGAAGGCACTGAAACATTTCTTACTGGAAGAATAAATTTAAAACACATTAACTGAGGCCATATATATTACGATCCTTTACATACATGGATAAACACGGGTAGATAAATCTCATTGTCTGAAAGTAATCTATTTATCAGACCACACCATCATTTAGGTTAGTGGACTCTTTAAAGTACCTAAAAATATATCTGAACTGTCCATCAATCTGAAGAAGTGTGTGCTGTGCAGGATATAATCTGTATTACAGTCGAAAATATGGTGTAATTAAAACTTCACTTTTAGTTCATTCATATTAAAATGAAAAATTCTCTTGTATAATCGTTATTGAATCACGATATACTATTACATGTTGCTTAGTAGAACCTTTATAGGAGGATTAATCTAAAAAAAAAAAAAAATGACAGTACTTAACCTAGGGATGATAACACTTGGATTTTGTTTAAGAGAGCGGTGTTCCAGTAACAGTTGGAGTGACAGATGGAAAAGCCAAGCTGAAGCCTTTTTTCAGTAGCGTAAAACCATTTTAAACACAAAGATAAAGCACCGCGCTTACTAATTAGAGATGTTTACACTTTGTCTGATACCAGCAAAGTTTATTGTATGTGTAGAAGCCCTATAAAGGGTTAAATGTGAAAGGGTTTATAAAATACCCCTTCCTGTCTCACTGGAGGGGAGCTTATATATTCAAATGGCCATTGGAATAAAACTAAAGAGCCTCCATTTTGTTTAAATGTACATGGGGATTTAGGCCAGAGCGCAGTAACGTTCTCTTTGTTAAAACCATTTTAAGTTCCCTTTCATTCTGCAACATGGACCTCATATTCTGGCTTTTTGGTGATGCAGCCAATGTTGCTTGATCATAGTGGTCATGTTGCAAGTCAAAGCCCAAGTGAATTTTCTGATGGGTTGGTTTAGAACGTTCTCAGTACACACCTGCAAACTCTCTTCCACTAATGTTGACTCGGACATTGACCCCGGCGTATATTGGATAAGGGTTCTGACCGCTTGACACACACACCTGCTGGTCCGACAGCTTTGCTGGATTCTCCTAAAACACATTGCAAACATTGTTCTCAATAGTCCATCAAAAGCTTTCATTCTGGATGGGCCTAGTATCTGAATTGCTGTTTTAGGGTGTATTAAAAGTCTTTATAGGCAATTCCACTTTGCAGCACAGACTTGACTTAGTCTCCTATATTGTAGGTGTGAATTTGATGGTCTAATGGAAACGATTCACTAAACCATAGGTTGAGGCCAAGTTGTAAGAATTCTTGGCTGTTAAAAAAAAAAAAAATATATATATATATATATATATATCCCCAAACCCAATTCATGATAAAGTTTTGATACTCTTAATCTGATTAAAAAGTTAAAGTCAAATTACAGAAATTAAAAAAAAGCTCCAACTATATTCCCAAATTGGACATTTGGTCTAAATATTGCAGATCTCTTTTTCTATTCACCACACCTGATTAAGGCAAAGGCGGCTAGAGGGCCAAAAAATCCCATGATGCTTGACTACCTTATGCCCGTTCCTGCTTTCTGGTACAAACTCCTCTTTTTGTATATTTGCATTATTGACAATGTGCAAGGCTGGATCGGTGTAATTTTATAAAGCTGGGTGTATTTGCAGTGATACTCTGAATCAGCTTGCTCATTGTATGCTCATTCTATGAGTCATATTGAGGGTGATCATTAATTAGGGATTATTCTAGTTTCTGTGATCGAATAATCTACATTGTATGAAAGACAGGAGGCTTCATATTTGTGGCTTTGATTTTCAGAAGCCTTTCTGCACAATCCCTTTTTCAGTTCCCCTTGTTGCTCAACAATTTACTGGTAGAAGTTGCCTTACTCTTGGTGAATGAGACCTGTGGAACAAAAAAAATGGCTGGAAATTCGCTGAAAAATTCTTACAAATTCGATGAAATTCTGAGAATTTCGGGGAACCAAAATGATACAGAGCAGTGCCAACCGTTAGGGGGAAAAAAAAAACAACGCAGGAAAGTACTCTTAAAATGGCCGCTGGCATTTGGAGCCAATGCGGGAACCTTGTGCAATTAAAATTATGACGCAAAGAAGAGGCCGGACTCTGAGAGCTTTGGAAAATGCCTGAATATTGCGAAGAGCTGGCTTAATAAAGTAAATTGTCGAGCAAAAAAAGGGAACTGAAAAGGGATTAGGCAGAAAGCCTCTGAAAATAAAAGCCGCAAATATGAAGCCTCCTGTCTTGCCATAAAATTTGCTCTGAGTTCTGTGTACCTCCTGATGCAGAAAATATTCAATTAAAAGACCCCACAAATCCGTGAAGTTGACTTTGTGGCCATCATTCTCCATGGTCGTAAGTTCCTGGATGCAATGTCTCAGTCTCTCCGGTGAGAAGGCTCCAGCCTTGCTGGCCGCAACTGAAGTTCTTGCGTTGCCAATTGGATCTCTGAGATCGTTCTTTGACCAGTCAGGGTCTCTATAAAGTGTGGACATACACCTAGGAAAAAATGTATAAATTAAAATTGTCTTGTTGTTCTGGGCTTTTGTGCTCAACCAACAGACTGTCGTCATTCTCAGATCATACCATGTTGACCCAGAAACCCCAGACAAATATGTGACACTGTCCAGAATCTTGAGATCCTGAAGTCCAAGCAGGGTCCCATAGAATGACGTCATAGCTCGAGTGCCACCTCCGGAACCCAGAACTGCAACCACTGGAACCTATAAGCAGAGGAATATTTATCCACAATACACTGGTAGACAGATGGGTTTTATGATTGTTGGAAGAGAACGTCTGCATTTTTTCATTTGATTATTTGTACAAAAAAATATTAATTATAATAATAAGCAAAAAAAATGTATATTAAATCAATGCTCAGAAAAGCCTACTTTTAAAGAAACAAAAAACAAACAAACATACCCAACTAAAGCTCACTGTAGTAGTTATAGAGCCAGGAGGGCCCTGGCACCCTCCCACCCATTGTAAGTAGTCAAAACATTTTTACATGTTTTGACTTCCCGGCATAGTAAGGGTCAAAATATTTTTACTGTACTTACCCAATTCCAGAATCTATGTTCCTTGGCGGTGGGTCGGTACTCAGCCCCCTTAGTTGTCACCCGATAGGGGGCACTAATGCGCACGTGGCGAACACCGCAAACGTTTTAGACCCTCCCCATAGGAAAGCATTTCTGCAATGCTTTCCTATGGGCAATTGACTCACACCTAAAAACCAGGAAGTGCCTCTAGTAGCTTTCCGAATGACAGCCACTAGAGGCCGTCTTAACCCTGCAAGGTAATTATTGCAGTTTCACAGAAACTGCAGTAATTACCAATGCAGGGTTAAGGGGACAGGGACACTGCACTCAGCTAAAGTGATCTGGCTGCCTATAGTGTGCCTTTAAGAGTTTAGTGAATAACTCTGATAGTGTCACTCAGGTGATGCTGAGTTTTAAGTTATTTAAGATATTTTCAATATATATTCTGAATAACAGGGTTAATCAATAAAGTGAGAATTAAAAAACAAATTTTAGGTCAAAATAGCCAAATTGCGAACATTCTCGAAGTCACCGATGCTTCCACTGCAGTTACTTTCACCTTACATTTAAAATTCACTTTGAATTCTTGCATTAGTGATTAACCTTGTAAGATAATTCACTAAACCGGGAATTCAAAATGAATTTTAACATTCAAGGTCAAAATAGTCGGAAAATAAAAATTAACAAAAAAAATCAGCTATTCTATCAGTTCCGCTACTATGGTCTTAAATTTAAAATTCATTTTAGTAAATAATCCTGTTAAGTTGTTTCTACAATTTACAACTCTGTTCTGTGCCCACTGTGGACAACCCTCTGTAATAGCGTTCTATAAATCATAATTACACTGTAATATAGACTGAAAAAGACCCGATCCTATCAAGTCCATCAAATTAATTCATTTTCACTTCCTCCTAATGTTCATACAAAACACAATGCATAAACCACTCATGATGTAAGATTTGTTTAGTGGTTATGGTTTTCTGAGCTAATACCAACAAACAATGTGATGTGACATATAAACAGTAAACACAAGAGACGTCCAGTTTTTGTCAGCCGAAAGGCATAGCCAACAATAAAAAGAGCTGATACAAGTACTTAACCCCTTAGTGACCAGACCGTTTTTTCAGTTTTCTCACCATTAAGGACCAGGGCTGTTTTTACATTTCTGCGGTATTTGTGTTTAGCTGTAATTTTCCTCTTACTCATTTACTGTACCCACACATATTATATACAGTTTTTCTCGCTTTTAAATGGTCTTTCTAAAGATACCATTATTTTCATCAAACCATATAATTTACTATAAAAACTTTTTATAAAATATGATGACATTTTTTAAAAACACACTTTTTCGAACTTTAACCCCCAAAATCTGTTACGCATCTACAACCGCCAAAAAACACCCGTGCTAAATAGTTTCTAAAATTTGTCCTGAGTTTAGAAATACCCAATGTTAAGATGTTCTTAGCTTTGTTTTGCAAGTTATAGGGCTATAAGTACAAGTAAGACGTTGCTGTTTCAAAATATATATTTTTAAAATGTATCAGTAGTGACATTGTAACACTATTATCTGTCATAAATCTCTAAATCACACCTCATATGTACATATTTTTTTTAAGTAGACAACCCAGGGTATTCAATATGGGGTATGTTCAGTCTTTTTTATATATATGATGACATTTTAAGTGTATTTTGAGATATATGTGTATATGTATATTATAAGTACACTTGTAATGAAATCATATATATGCATTATATATGTATAATATATTATAAAATGCTTTAATTATTTTATAATATATATATATATATATATATATATATATATATATATATATATATAATATATTAATGTAATAATTTTATTTAGTAGGTACGTCCGCGGTCCTTAACAACTGTTTTTTTGGAAGTATCTAGTACGTCCGTGGTCGTTAAGGGGTTAAAAGGGAGCTGCCATTTCTGTTGAATTACACCATTGAATAGAACATTGAAAATAACCTATAATATGTGTTAACCTATACACCTATATATATATGTATGTGTGTGTGTGTTAACCTTTGCTTCACGTGAAGGTCCAATTTCCTTTAGATTAATATTAAAAATGTAGTAAATGGAATCACAATTCATTTGAGCCCAGGCACGACCAGGGCACACAATGCAAATGAGCAGAAGAAACAGAAACATTTTTTTATTCCTCCTCTTCTCTGTATGCTTGATGGACAAGTGCAAAGGACAGAGTGTCTAACAATGACTGACTGGATAAAGAGGTATGGAATTCTACATTTATTTTAACATTTAATTAACAAATACTTAAAGGAACACAAACACGTATAGCGATTTAATAGCGATATTTAGGCCCCCAGTCCCACTGTCACCAAAGTATTAGGTGAGTTTACTCACCTTTTTTTACAGTGCCACGTGGGTCTCCTCGCAGCTGGTGCCGCCACCACTTTGCCTCCTTGGCTAAGGTCATCACATTTGATAATCTCAGCCAATCCAGTGCTTTCCCATGGGAAAGCTTTGGCAGGCTCTTGTGCATGCGCAGCAAAACGGAGTGCTGTGCCAATCAGCATCTCCTCATAGAGATGGACTGAATCAATTCAGAGCGTGAAGACGTTAAACGTCAGTGCTGCACTGACCCAGGAAGCACCTCTAGTGGTCGTCTGAGTGACTGCCACTAGGTGTGCCTCTGAAAAGGCAGTGTTTACATTAAAAAGCCTGTGGGACATACTATACACACCAAAACAACTACATTAAGCTGTAGTTGTTCTGGTGACTATAGTGTCCCTTTAAATATATATAATTCTGAATAGGTGTACTGTATGATCGTAGTGATTTGTTGAATATTAAAGGGTTCCTCCAAGCAACATGAATCTTTCAATTATATGAAGTAGTCATGGTGCCTTGAGTCTGTATGTGTAGACATACAGAGATTAACTACATTGATTTTGAAGGGGTGTAACCACTTCCCGCAACATCATTGGAACATAATTAACATGTCCGGAACAGGGGTTCTGAGTGACTAATATGAATTCTGTGCAAAATTGGTGTCTGGCATCAGCATGTACAGTATGCCGGTGCCACATAGCCAATGACCCACACCTTATCTGCTTTACATCTGTCCCACTCGGACGAGGGAGAATTATGTAATTGGAGGAAGATTTAGCTGCAGGTACAAATAGCCTCACCAAGTAAAGGGGTAATATTTAGCGGTTTGTTTTTTTATTTGTGGTTTGTAAGGTTTTTGGTTTTTTTAGGCGGTGGGGGGTTAGGGGAGGACCAGTATAGGAAGGGTTACTCTGAACAGAAACAGTGTTTTTTTTAAGCATTGTTTTTGGATGGAGTAGCCATTTGAGGATGTCGCACATTTTGTTACGAATATGACCAATAGAATAAAATAAAATCTTACATACCAGTTAAAATGTCTTACCTCTTCTGTATTAGGATCACTGTTAAGCTTCAACGCTTGTTTTAGACAGTGAGAGACCACCTTCTTCCTTTTCCCTAGAAAGGCTCTCTCTCCATCTGACAGTTCAAAACCAAGACGGATATCAAGTTCCTGACAACTGACCCCAGAAACAAGAATAAAAAAAATGATCTGTGAGTGTATTTTCAGATACCCAATGGCTATACCTCTGCCCTTCTCATGGTATATTCATTTTCGTGCAATAAACTTGGAGGACTTGCCAGCTCTTACCCTCACCTTTCCTCAGTTTTCACACTCATGTCCAGGTTTTGATCCTGGAACAAAACAAAAACACAACACACACTCAGAAAAAAAAGACTGGAAGAAGCCAACATTCCACATTTACTGATGGCAACAAGATGGTGTTACCTTGGAGAGAGGAAGACTGATGTCCACCTCCTGACCAAGAGGAAGTGATGCAATAGGTAGGGACGCTTCACCCACTAATAGAGTTTTTCTGTCGAGCTCAGGAGCTAGATCATCCTAAGGGGGTATTACATATAAGTTGCAATTAATATGAAGTTCATCACATTCTGTTTATATATGGGAAATGGGCATGTTCTCCGATGCCACCTACCTGTCCAACTCTGAGTTTTTGCTGTAGGCTCACATCTAGATTGGGGCTCATGTCTCTATCAGCATGGAACACAAACGGCACCCCCTCTTCTGTAATTGATGAGTGCTTAACACACATTTGCTTCTCACATGAACCCGGAACGGACAATTTCAAAAGCCGGTCTCCTGGAACAATATAAGAGACAAAAAAAAAAAATACAGTCAAAGTTTCTTATTTTATGCCTTCAATCTCCTTTCAATCCTTCAACCTCTTGTCTCAGCTCTACATTTAATTCCTTGTTTTTCATTGCAGGCCTCCTAAAATATCTAATAATGATTACATTCAGCAAGGTCCTTATATAAAACGTACTTGAAAATAACATTTTAATATAAAAGATACAATTGTACCAGTTTCTCTGGCTTTCCCCCAATAAGAGTTTGCCGGTTCTGTACAGTAAGCTATAGTTCGGGGTATCGAGAGAGATGAAAAAGAATATAAGACTATATAGAGAGTAGAAATAAAAGAGACACATAGAAACCAAGTCAGTTTCTGCATACTGTTGTGAAGTAAATAGTGGTTATAGAAGGAACATATAATATTTTGGTAATGCATACAAAGCTTTTTTAGCCGAGTTAGACTCCGTGCAAGCCTTGAACCCACATTTTCCTCATAAGTTCATGATGAGACCAAAAAGGGTAAATATGGTTTCACTTCCTTAATTTAACCACCCCTATTTACTAATAATAAAACCGATCGTTGGTCCATATTTCACACAACTTTATTTTTGTATATAAAAAATACATTTATTCACTTATGTGCAGCTACGAGTCTGTCTGGGTGTGTTTTATTTGGCGGCTGTGAGTCTGTGTGTGTTTTATTTTGTGGCTGTGAGTGTCTGTATTTTACCTAGTGCTGTGAGTCTCTACTTGTGTAATCGGTGCAAGAAGGGAGAAATTAATCCAGTATATTTCAAGACTTTTTATGCTCTGTACACCCCAGGAGTAATCTAATGTAATTGGTTTGATAGCCGATTTCCAGACTGACTAAAAACAAAATCATATCTGCCTTTACAGCATTGCAACCTGTTATAGAGGATAACGTTGTAGAAAAAGTCAGATCACGTATCTCTGCTTTTCCAAAAACTCTATATCATAGGTGCTTAAAAGGTAGAACCCCAGATGTTTTCAAACCACAGATTCCATGATGCTTTGTCATTCTAAAGGCATGCAAAGCATCATAAGAGTTGTAGTTCTACAACAACTCGGCTGGGGATCTACCTTTTGGGCACCCCTGCTCTATGTAGCACCTAAAAATAATGGATATATTATACTTGGATTCACAAATCCTTTAAAATATAGTGCTGACTATTCCTTATTGCTGTTTCCAGATTAGTCATTTCTGCCTAGATCACCTGCTGTCTGCTGGCCAACATGTGAATGTCTAAAAGCATGATTTTTTAAACTTTGTGTTGGGAAAGGATGTTAAATACCAACACACGCGCTAGTCCCACATTTAAGTGGCTTCTTCTAATTTCAAGCATATGCACAGTGCAAGTCTCATAAGCGGAGATTTTTGTTTTAGCTCTGTAACTCTCACGCACTGAAAATTCAAATGTAAAAGCACACAGGTCCGATCAGAATTCCACTTTACCCTAAGTGAAGGGTGACTTCGACCTAGCAGACCTACTGCTTTATAGCAGGATGGACAACTGTGATGACCTCTTCCAGTTTATGAAGTCCTGTTTACTAGTTACCTTTCTCTGACAATGGTTTTTCATTTTTGTAGATTCTTCCTTCAACACACATGCAGGGATGAGCCTGTGAGAATGTTAAAACTAGACTTAGTTCTGTGTCATTGTCAGTTGTTTCAGGCCAATTATTCTATACACCAATTACTAACATGAACTTAGATGGGCCACTCAATGCACCATAACTACTACAGCATGCCATGAGCCCTTGATGCAATCCAACTGTTAAGTGTCAAACACTTACCTAGGTTCCCCAGGAGCCCACAGACCAGCCCATCTTCACAGATATCACTAAAGTGGAATTTACCTTCCACCTGAAATATATCAGTTGTGTCCATATTTGAACGGAATTCATTGGTTGAGAGATGTCAGCTGACGCACTCAGCCAATTAATTCTTGTCACAGCTCCCGGCAGGTGCAGCCATGCTGTAAATATTGAAACTTACCTGATCCGCATGTGCTCAAGCCACCGGCCAGTGTGGCGTTCTAAAGGACGCTGCATTCCCATGCTGTCTTATAGCCCCTTATCCAACCATTTTAAAAATGGCGTGAACAGGTGTGCATCAACGTGTCATCGACACGCATGCATGTTTTGGGGTCACAAGGTCCATTCGGATCAATCATAGTCTTAAGGGTTATTTCATTCTGCGTGTTGGGTCATAAATTATCTGGACATCTCTATGAAGACAGGCTGGACTAAGCTGTTCAAAAACATGGTAACTCTTCACAGTTGGATAGTGGCATGGCTCACCTGGCACCATAACTACTACAGAAAGCTATAGTAATTTTTATGATTAGAGTGCCACGTTACCTAAACTAATCATAATGTAAGAATCTTCAGGGAAAGTTATTGCCAATATATAAAAAAATGTATATAAAAACAGGTGCTGTTTTCTATAAATTCTCCTGGACTTCTATGTTGCCATCATAACCTGCACTTTTCGTTTTTCATCCTAAATTGCATACCCCAATGTAGTCTGGTCCGGTTTACTTACGCTACATAACGTCTAATACATAAACTGTTACTCTTTTAAATTCCAAGAAACCAACTAAATTGATTTAGTAAGGCATGAACTAGGCACTCACCACAAGGACTCCATTGGTAATAACCTTGGTGGGCGGTTCATCGCTGGAAAACAAACAATCAGGTCAATAATATCTGAGTATCGTTATGAAGATCAATTTGGCGGTGACTATGGTAATGGGCACCACATACTGCTTACCTTTCCTTGAGAAAAAACTCCAATTCTAAAACCTCTTTGTTCTAGGGAAACAGATAAGAATGCACGGATAAGCTTATTAGATGTACATGTCCATAAATGGTAAATATATATATATATATACACACACACACATACTTTTGTGTCAAGCATGAAGTCTCTCTTGAAGGTATGTCCAGGCTTGATGTTTCCTATGTCAAACACTACGGAGGACAGATGATCGTCGACCACAACATCTCTGTCATAAAGCTCCAACTCAAGTATGTTCTATATAGAAGGGAATAACAAACATTAAAAAAAAAAAAATACCACTACAGCGTAAACATGTAAAAAACACATTAAACAAAAACTGAATGTAAGTCGCTTCCCAAACTGCTACTATACCACTACGGAATGCTACACTACATGTAAGAGAGATTGGGTGAACGTTATTAACTGAAAGAAAAAAATATTAAAGGGAATCTGCTAGAGCAGCTGGAACAATGTTTTTTTTTAATTGATTAATATTTAAATATATGCAATTCATAGTTAGATCAATTATAAGTGTCAAGTTTGCGCTTTCTGAATTAGCCTCTTTACTACAAAGCTCCTATGGTAGCCTACTACATTCATTATAGCAGAGAAGCCTAATTTTAGCCAGGCAACTGTGCTTATTGTATGTCCTTTCTAACCACACACAGGCAATCAGGCATTAGTTTTATTTAATACTAAATACAGTTAGAAAAATCAGTTATCTTACATTTTGAAACAAGGTACATTGCATTCTAACACGTATTAATAATTTGTGCTTGTGACTGATCTACTCCTTTTTATATGCAATATATCTTCATATGTATAGGATATCAGTATCTGTAGATATGCGGCGTGTACTGCTCTTTGTTCTGGCAAATGCAATATCTCACGTCCTCACCTTGACCGCACCGTGAATACGATAATGAAAGGTTTCATTCCATTCCGGGTCACTGGAGTTATATACGACCTCTGTTCTAGAGGTCAAGGGGGATGCAGTGGGAAGACGCAACTGCACATAGCAATCAGCTTCAGATACTGGGGAGCAGAGAAATTACGGGTACACAATGGAGAAAGATCAGAACAAATTCGACTGGTAATAGAAGGGTATATTATACAGCGGATGTGAGAGAGAAAAATCTATAACAAATTTTTTTTTTCAGCACAAACTATAACAAAACTAAAAGGAACAAAAAGTGAAATATATTGAAATCAATATGTGTATTCGTTATCAAGAACACTATTTTTCGCTTTATGTGTAATGTGAATTTATTTTTTCTGTACGTTAGTCATTAGTTTTTGTATTTTAAAACCTGAATTAGCAGTGTAAAGAAAACAAGTAAATATACAAATTAGATCAGGTATTTTGTGATTTTTCTGGATATATTAAAGGCAATAAAACTCAGTCACTTACACAAGTCCGCTCCATGTATATTGCGTGCTCGGATAACCTTCACACTCAAGTCATAGTAGGGATGCACTTCTTTCTGTCACAAAGTTTCATCCATGTTAGAATTATTATTTTTTTTTTAATTCTTTATTTTTGTAGTGCATAAACTTAGCACACTATCCATGTTAGATTTTAATTTATCAATCACGATCAAGAATTAACAAATGATATATCAAGTTTAACACTCTACATTGGCTACATACAGCAATGCGGAGGATGTCTCCAAAAACAGTCTGCAAGAGACCTCTGATAATGAAATCTCCATCATTAAGATCTGCCAAAACCCCTCAGTCTCACACATTAAAATAAATAACATACCCACTAACCCGGGAAGAATAAAATAAAAGCTCTGTTTCACCTCTGCCTTGTGGTTCTATCGGTAGGAGTAATAATACTAGTTTATCAAAGGGTAACATAACATAACATTTTTCTAAATGTAGGACCAAAGCTTCCGAGATAATGCTAAACCTATACAGTATTGTGAATACTCTGTAAATAACACATACATTGTGTTACCTTATCTTCACATGACACTACATGTAAGAGAGATTGGGTGAAAGTTATAAACCTAAGCGGGTCCTACGCTGACCCTTCACCTTGCTTCTTTGAGCTTCTGGCCCCCGCATAGGGGGGTCTGCCTTGACGTTGGCAGACGGGCATTCCCTCCAATGGCCACTGGAGTAACTAAATTACCTCCATTTGTTTAATTATACATAGGGATTAAGGAGAAAGCGCAGGTAACTTGTTTTTCTTTGGTTTTTACTATATATTGGGGCTGATGTGTACTGTAGCCATTGCTGCCGCAGAGTAGTGATGGGAGTGAGCGCAGGACTTATGTTTCTGCATTTATAATGCATTTATGCTACTCCTCCTGGACCAGAGGAATAATATTGGGTCAGTCTCGTCTGTGCTTTCCCAGCTACTGTCTCATCAATTATCCAGTTCGATGTTTTAAGTGGACACAGCAGAGTAGTCAAGACCATCGTCACAGGTGCATAGTCCAACCACGCCGCGGGGCCAATCCGGACCCCATTTAGGTCTGTAAAGTTGTAGTAGGTAAAAAATAATGAATTCAATCAAGAATTTGTCTTATGTGATGTTGAGTAGACTGTGTAGTCCCTATCCTCTGGGTGTGTTTGTGGAAAGTCTTGGTAACAGCGTGTGAGATAGATGACCTTTCTAACGAGGTATCGAGAGACGGATAGAGCGCACTGTTTAAATCATCTCCAAATATCAAGCAGCCCTATGTGGAATTCATCAAAACCCTAATAGCGGTCTTCATGAACCTATCCTGTGTGTTGTTAGAGGCATAGAAGTTTGTCAGTGTATAGGGTTTTACCAAGATAATGCAATTAACCAGGGTGTATTTACCCCCATCTGACAAAGTATCTGTTGGAACACAAGGCAGGAATGACAGTTCCTCTTTAAGTGTATTTGTGCAACTACTTTAACCAGCATAAGGTATGCCAAACCAAGAGTCGTACCCTGTGACTGTCAGCCGCAGTCAGGGTCACGCGTAAGCAAAAACTCCAAAAAGGGTTATGCAATAATGTGAGGATTTCTAGGAACTCAACAAGTATTTAAAATGTAAGGCCAAAATAGCTTAACTGGAACAATTCTCCAGGTCAATTTTCCTTGCAGCTCAGCTACTTGAATTTGATATTCAGTTTGAATTCACTTTGAATCCCTGACAATTCTCATTTCGTAAATCAACCTGAGAGAGTTGGCCAGTGTTTGGAATTTTAGATTTTTTTTCCTTACCAAGAAGAAGAATTTAACACGGCCATGAAGCTGGCCTTCAGATGTCCATAGGGAGGTTGCGAGATTATTTTTTTCACATGTGATTAAAGGATATTCCTTTTTTAATTTATTTAATTTTTTTAACAGCACTTATCTACGCATCTGCCCAGAATTTGTGAACTAGTTATTATTTCACCAAAAACTAGAACAATATACAAAGAAATGCCTACAATACCCTTAACTTCATACATACATCCCACATACATGTTTACAAGATGACATTTTACGTACTACAATAACATAACATTAGTACCTGAGAGAACTGTTGGAGTATTGTAGGCTAGGTTACTGGAGAGTGATTTATCTATCTATTCACATCGATCCATCTTATCGATAGATAAGTACATTAAAGTTAAGAGTGAAAAAAGGCTTGATCTGTTTATGTAGTGTCTAAACACTGGGTTTTAGTAAATTAACAACACGCTCGCAAACTTCTGACCAGTTTATATGAACTGCAGCAATACTTCCAAAATAGTTTAGTTGAGTTTTTTTTTTTTTTTTTTTTTACACATGACAACTGGCCCGCAATTATCCCTTTAGTGCAACAACTCTTAAATTACTATTTAATTTAACATTATGAGTGAAAATGCAAATTCACACATTTAGCCTTTCCGTGATGAATTGTTACATTTTGCTCGTACTCAAGAGGATAGATACAGGACAACTATAGGAGACCTGTCACACACCGCTAAGTGACACAAATGGACAATCTAAATAGAAAACTCATTAAAACAAAGGTTGGAGATGTGGACAGCACAACATATTCATATCTTGTTATATATTGGTCATGTCCAAAGCTTTCCTCCTTATGATCAGCTATGCAGGAGATGATACGTGCTATCACCTCTGTCACCTGACATTATTCTCTTAGACATGTTAAAGGAATCACTATGCATATATTGATAGCAGCAAAAATATGCATTGCTTCAAGATGAAAGCAAGTTATAGACAGACTGACAGCAACTTGGCTTTACAAGGAGATGTTATCTCGTATTTTGGGAAACATGCCCAGGTTTAGGAAGATCTGGCAAAAATGGTCGGGCCAATATCTCAACCCATTATCTCTTTTTAGAAAGGATTTATGCACAGAATTGACATTAGGCAGCTCGGAGCAGAGTTCTAGACTGCCTAATTCACATGTGCTGGGAGTGCAATTTGCCCCAGCACACAATTAAAAATATCTAAGGATAGCAGTTTTTTAAGCAGAAACACTGCACATCCAAACTCCTATCACCATAACCACTTCAAAAAGTAGAAGACGTTGGAATAACTCTTTAAACTTTTTAGAGTACACTGTCATGTTTCAGGTGGTATATTTGCCTATGTAATTGGAACTTCAATAAAAATGATACATTGTAGAAAAAAATGCAAAATATAAAGAAGATGTATAAGTAAATATACTTGGTCAATGAATAGATATTTCTTTAGAACATTTTCAGAATGATTTGTAATGTGTAACTATCTTGTATTGTTTTATATTCCATATAAAATGTGTAAAATTATATTAGCTGCCCAGGATGAATATGAAAACTAGAAAATTTTAAAAGTATTTTCACCAGTAAAACACTTACAGGATTATTCCCTAAAACCAAAATGAGTTAGGAAATGACCAGTGAAATGCACGTTTTAGTCAAAAATGTCACAATTGTAAAAATAAATCTATAACTCAGTTATTGTTCCAGCAGGAATATATTGCCCTAGAAAATAGAACATTTACAGATCACGCCCTGGTTTAATAATTAACCCTGTTTATAATTAAAATACAATTTCAGAGCAGAGTTGGTGAAACACGTTGGGTACAGCATATAATCTTTTAAACGAAACCAATAGTTTGCAAATTGTGTAGGTGACAAGTTATACTTGGAATGGATTTCATTTGTATCACAGGTGTAGATTAATACATATATTTATCTGAAAAGCATCCATGGTTGGCCACTGGAGATGACTCAAACCACCGGGAATTGTCACAAGCGAATTACAAATTTTACACCAGAATAGTTGACTTGGGAAAAAAAAAACTTCCCTAAATCCCAGTTTTCAATTTAATCACTTTTCCATATAATTTGAAATTCTGTTTGAATTCCCGTATAATTCCTGAGCTGGCTCCCTTAGGATGCAAAACATAAGAGAGAAAAAAAAAGACACTAACTGAGAAAGCTGAAGATTTCAAGTGTTTATAAGGAACCCCACTATCTTGTCAGATATTTGGCTGCACCCCTAGTAATTTGTAAAACGTGGCAAATAGTTATTCATATTTTTTCCTCATTAATAATGTTTACATTAAATACATTGGTCTTTAGATTGTAAGCTCCCGGGCAGGGGACCCTCTGCCTTTTGTATTGGTATCGGTTTATATTGTATTGTTTTTTTCCCCCCGCTGCGGAATATGTTGGCACCTTATAAATGCCAGTAATAAATAAAATATTTCTCACTTTGTGAATTCAGACTCTTTAAAGAACCACTAAAATCTAGCCGTGGCACCCCAGATTTTTCTGAATTACATTTTATTTATTTTTTAAAAAGTGTTTATAGGGAGCTGTGTACTGGCTCTTTAACCCCTTAAGGACACATGAGATGTGTGACATGTCATGATTCCCTTTTATTCCAGAAGTTTGGTCCTTAAGGGGTTAAATAGACCTTCTTATAAAACCAGGCAGCTTGCTGGGAGGAAACATTTAATTGCTGCATGATAACAGCATGTGAAAAAAAATGCAAGTGGCACACAGTGTCATTTATCACTTACTGCATTCAGGCCCTCTATAGAACTGCAACTCCCATGATGCTCAGCCAGCCGAAAGGCAGGCTGAGGGTCATGGGAAATGTAGTTCAGAAACACCTGGACTTGCCCAGGTAAACCTTCAATCAATCAATCAGACATTGGCAGGTGATTGGCACCCTTGGCTCCACCCTCATTACCTAGACCCCGCCCCCTTGTCATTTACCCTCCAGCTCCTTGGTCTCCTTTCGGGTCGCCGCCGCTTGTCCTCTTTTTCTTTCTGGCGGAGGAATACAGCGGCCAGGGCAGGTAAGGCGTGAGACGGCAGGCGGCTCACAGCGGAGCGGAGCATGTTAGCCCCCTGTCTGTCTCAGTGCAAGTCACAGAGTTCTGGGCGGGGACAGAGAGAGGGCTGGAAATAGAGCGTGGTGAGGCCGCACAGGTAAGTGGGCGGGACTACGAGACATTCCCGCCCGTCATGTGCAGAGTGGGCGTGGCTGGCAGGCTGCCTCACTGTCTGTCACTGCTTACTTAGTGCAGGTAGACGCCCAGCTGGCAAAGCATCACGGGAGTTGTAGTGCTGCAGAGATTGGGGAGTTAAAGCTAAGGTTTTGTCAAATCCTGAATATCTGCAGTAACCAGATCTTATTAAACAACAAGATATTCATTTTCATTCACAAAAATTACAGGAGAGCCCATTAACTGCCCCCGCAATACAGTTAAATGAGGATTATTACACCAATAATGGTAGATTGTGTAAACCTTGGTGACAGAAAGGCAGGACGCAGCTTTAGCACAGGGTTTTTCACTGAACTATGAATTCCAAGAAATACAACCAGAATGGTTATGATATATTTGGTGACTCAGCCATAGTTACAGCTGAATTATTTTGGCCTCAATTTTGCCATTTGGATTTCGTTGCAAGTTTTCGTGAATAAACCTAAAAGTTAATTCCATGGGCCAGGCTAGGCCAACGTCGATCAACCAGAAACATTCTCCATGTCTGCTCTAATAAGGTTTAGCCATGTGGCCTGAAATTCGCTTTAAATTCTTGCTTTAGTGAATTATCTGATAAAGAGTTAGGGACAGTTATGACCTCTGCAGATCTGTTTGGTTTTTCCACCTTAGGCAAAATTCCAGATTGTATCCTCCAGTAATTTATATAGAATTACTAGGATTTTAAGAAGATTCCAGCACCAACTCCCCCTACTGCTCCAGGCCAATTGTATCCCATGATGGCTTCACACCAGGAGAAGAGTATGACGTGTCACACCATTCCTTTATTTCTCTGTACGATAACATGTAACAAATCTTGAGAACCTCTTGTTGTTAAGACAGTTCTCCTGCCACTCAATATTGAGCATGGCAGACTATGCCAATAGTTGTTTGAGAGTTATGAAGGGTCAATATTTGTACTCTCAAATTTCTAAAAATCTATAATTTGCTTGCATTTTTATCAAAGCATAAGTCAGCATAGTCCTATGCAATGATCCTTGCCACCCTTTATAAAGGGTACTTAGACAAAAAGGCATGAGAATCACTTGTCTCCAGAAAGCAACAATTCTTCCAGAAATGATTGATTAGGGCATAACCATCTTCCCCTGCCCCCAAATACTTAAAACTCTTCATTGAGCAGACTGACAGACAAGGAATATAATCAGTGCAAGTACCAACACGAAGAGAACCGAGCACTGGTCAGTCCAGTTTAGGATTGCTACACTTTATATCTGTAATAGTTTATCTGGAAGACAAAGTAAATATACGTTGCTGCCAAACTCTACAAGAACCTTGTTATTTTAGTCTCAGATTAAAAAACTGGTTTCCATGTCACAGTTAGCCAAACTTATAAATAAATAAAAATAATTTAGACCAGAATTACAATTATATAAAATTAAGAAAAAAACAAACTCACCTGCCACCACCCTGCCAGTTAAAGTTGTAATTACTTTTGCTGTCACCTATCAGGAGTTATGTCGATATTGCACACATATGCAATCATACAGATCACTTCTTTATTTTGGAATGAGTCTAGAAGCACAACTTAACATATGGTGAACAATTACTACTTTAGCCAAGAAGAGACACGTGGCCGGATTGTTGCTGCTACCCACTAACAGGACAGTGTCGGTGCTTATGTTTGAACTAAAGATGTGGGCTGCCTACTTTTAATTCTGTGCAAGTGTCATTGCACAGAACATCAACCAATGAATGGCAATGGCCGCTGCGTCCACCAGACCAACACTGAGCCTTGGACCCAAGTAAGGGGATAAACTGTTATTAACCCCTTAAGGACCAAACTTCTGGAATAAAAGGTAATCATGACCTGTCACACGTCATGTGTCCTTAAGGGGTTAAACGGTTTGCCCCATTACCAGGAAACTAGGCTAGGCCAACTGCAGTGGTTCCAATTTAACTTTTAAATGCAATCACTGCAGTGCATCGATCAAATGCTTCTCATTGAATCCAATGTTTCTCAAAAAAAATAACACATCAAGGAAATTTGCAGTGCCAGAGGACACTGAATGGCAATGAACCGAGTCTAACTCACTTGTGGGTGCGGAAGCAGCCTCTAATGGCAGTTACTGCCATGCAATGTAAACATTGCTGTACCTCAAAAACAGCAATGTTTTACACTACAGGACCAACATCACTGGGCCACTGCATCTCAATGAAGTGGTCTGGGTGCCTATAATTTCCCTAAACACATAGTTTAATCCTGTAACAGTGCTGTGCGGCATAAACCATGCCTTGAATAAACTTTGCCCTTGGAAAACAACATGCTATAAAATCCTACAAATACCGGATTTCCTGTGTAACAGATTACAGAATCAGTGTTATTTTAAGGTAGACAAAAATATTTCTTATCTAAATTTTTTGATTTTATTTATTTAAATAAAAGGGGTGGAAAAAAAAATAGCTCCAACATAACGTATTACAAGTAAAGTAAGCTGAACATTTTATATTCTAGACACCATCATTGTTACACAAGATTAAAGGACCACTATAGTGCCAGGAAAACATACTCGTTTTCCTAGCACTATAGTGCCCTGAGGGTGCCCCCACCCTCAGGGTCCCACTCCCGCCCGGCTCTGGAAGGGGGAAAGGGGTAAAAACTTACCTTTTTCCAGCGCTGGGCGGAGAGCTCTCCTCCTCCTCTCCGCCTCCGTTACGCCCCGCCGGCTGAATGCGCACGCGCGGCAAGAGCTGCGCGCGCATTCAGCCGGTCACATAGGAAAGCATTTGCAATGCTTTCCTATGGACGCTTGCGTGCTCTCACTGTGATTTTCACAGTGAGAAGCACGCAAGCGCCTCTAGTGGCTGTCAATGAGACAGCCACTAGAGGATTAGGGGGAAGGCTTAACCCATTGATAATTATAGCAGTTTCTCTGAAACTGCTATAATTATGAAAAAATGGGTTAACCCTAGAAGGACCTGGCACCCAGACCACTTCATTAAGCTGAAGTGGTCTGGGTGCCTAGAGTGGTCCTTTAAAGGTCAACCCAGTTACAGCTGGGTAACAGCTAATGGATATTTCTTGTTAGGTTTGTCTGTTGAAAATAATAAGTCAGGGCAGATGGAGTTAAAAACAAACAAAAAAAAAACAAAAAACTTCTTATATTTAAATGTTTCTCATTCTGTATTTTGTGGGAACATTGAAATATTTTTAGTTCTAGACCAGCTGCCACTCCTGCTGGAGAGGAACCAAGATGTTAAACTACATTCCAAAAAGGGCGAGACTTTATTTGCTTAGTCATTTTAATAACCATGTTGAGAGTAAATGTTGGTGATATTCTTAAATCACCCACATAAAACTTAAACTACTATAGAATGTTATGGAATACACAAACATATATTCCGAACGTTATAGTACTGGAGTGGCTGTTTAGGTGACCGGCCCCCTCAGATCACATTGAAAAAGGTGATTAAAAGCTTAAATTTTCTCCATCGCTACGCCAGTCTTTCCATGGCTGGCCCTGCTTCCATAGGAAATAATTAGGAGGCCATCGCGCATGTGCATCAGAACACCGCTCTCTGCCAATCAGCATCTCCTCAAATTTGATTCAACTTATACTCTATGGGGAACATTCAGTGCCTCCATGCAGAGCGTGAAGACACTGAACATCAATGCTGCCCAGTGTGCAGGACTGAACCAGTAAGCACCTCTAGTAGCTGCCACTAGAGGGGGTTCTAGGTTGTAATGTAAAAACAGCCTTTTCTCTGAAAAAGCAGCATTTACATTGAAAGCCTGCAGGCACCAGGACCAGAACATTAAGCTCTAATGGTTCTGGTGACTTGAAGCCAATTTATGGTTCTACATCCAAATGTATTTGAAATAGTTTTCACAAGTAACTTTTGCTTAGAATGCATAACTACATTTACATATTAATGGCTCATGGGGTCTTTAAATCTTACCAACAGGCTTGAGAGCAAGTGCTGAAGTCATATTAATGAGGGTTGTGTGAGCTTTAATAAAAACACTGTTTGGTGAGATTAACCTAAACTAAATCTAGAACATTTGTCTGTTCCAGGTTCTTCCCTCAGCCCGATCCTCTTCTGTGGATGTCACAAATCCCCACGCTGGTGGGGGAAAGATGGAGGGAAAGGACAGGCTGGGGGCAGAATTGGCAGCAAGGTGGAGGGGGTGCCGCTATTGAATGCCTGTCACGGCCTGCTGTACACGCGGATGACGGATGTCTAATATGCAAAGAACCGACACGAGCCAGACCGGCACTCTTGGTTAGGGCCAATGAAGATGGTGGCAGTAAATTTGTTAAATTCTGTATGGGTAGTGTTTCACAGGAAATCACTGGTGCTTGGAGTGTTCCTTAAAGTGAAATTCTATTGGCAACATATTGAACTGTAGCTGGTGATCCATGTTTGTGTCTACCTCAGATTATACAGGGTGAGCAACAAGTAATGAACCACACAATTAGCAAACAGTGATAATGCACTTAAAATGGGCAGTATGGCATGGTTCCACAATGACACAGATGCACCCATTGGTCTAGATCAGGGGTGCCTAAGAGGTAGATTTTGTAGAACTACAACAACCATGATGCTTTGAATGCCTTTAGAATGACAAAGCGTCATGGAAGCTGTAGTTTGAAAATATCTGGAGATCTACCTTTTGGGCACCCCTGGTGTAGAACATAAATGGTAATGAGGATTTTAATCATGTAGTGTCATAAAAGGTATTTGGGCGGTAAGGAATTTAAACTTACCCTGTAGAATGTACTTGAGCGCAGAGAGAACGTTCAACAATTTTCATGTAAGAGTATCAGTAGTACAAATGCTCTGTGCTAATCACCTGTAACACTGACTTTACAGTATTTCCATCATTTTGTGGGACAATATTTATTTTGCCATTCTAAGCTGGACAACCAAACCATAGCAAGCACAGTTATACAATATGATACAGTAAGGTAAACAAAACTTAACCACTCAAAGA